ATTAGAGAAAGAAGACCATTCGTTGTACCTTTCTCGACTCTTAATCATTGTCTGAATTCTGTCTCCCCCCCCCCTCTCGTGCGAAGTTTTGACGTTTCATTAAATTATAAGAGAAAGAAGATGATTCGTTGTAACTTTCCCCGACCCTTAATCCTAAATTTGAACTCAGTTCCCCCCTTCCCGCGCGAAGCGCGGAAGCTTTGACGATTCGTTGTACCGTTCTCGACTCCTTTTCCCTTTTTCTTCCTACGTCCTCTTTTTTTTTTCTTCTCCTCTTTCTCTTTCTTTTTTTTTTGGCCGGCATTTTGGGGGGGGGGCGACCGCCCCCACCGCCCCCCCCTGGCTACGCGCCTGGGGCCTACTGCTCGTAATATAAGATGAGTGGTAGCGAAAAGTAATTATCATTACAAATGTTTCCCTTTGAAAGTGGCCCGTTAGTTTGCAGATAGGCAAGAATCTTTTGTCTAAATATGTTCAAGGAAGATCCAGTTAAGTACATGCCTGACATATTTTCTCCTGGCGGCATCGAAGATGGTACAAAGGAAATAAGCTAGATATGACTTTATCTCTTAAAACTCCTAGGTAATACGAAATACGATTGGTGTTGTGCCATTCTCATAATTTGAATATTAACATTTTGAATAACAATTTGTATATATAATTATTCATATTACATGGTAAGGTATGATAACAATCATAAGACATAAACCATTTTAGACATGATTTTAAATCAGACGATTCATCATAAATATTAGGTATGCAAATATATCTCATGGCCTAAGACAACAACGCAACGATGAATTTCGTGTTCAATTGCTTATTACAATATAGAATATAAATCTCAAATCATCACATTGATATCCTCTATGATAAAGAGAACACACTTACTCTGCGAATAGAGCAGGAATAAGGGAATTTGAAATGATGAAATATACCAACCAGCCATTGTTCTCTAGTAATGCTACGGTCACAAAGGTTCGTACGAACGATAATTTCGTACAAATCTCCCTGTTTTTCCATTGTCTTCCCGAATTTCCATTGTCTGAAAATCGTTCGTACGGCGTTCGTAGCAGTTCGTAATGGCATTTGTGACCGAGGCTTAACATGAAATGGATTTTAAATGATGGCCCTAAACGATTGAGCATGACTCTGTGAGTGTATGTGCGTGTGCGCGCGCGCGCGTGTGCGTGAGTGTGTGTATATGCCAGTGTCAATAATTATCCAAACCTCAAAAGATATATAAACACGATTGTCCAATTGCGTTATTTCATTCCGGTACTACCAACAGGCCTAAATAGAGCGAGTAGATAGGGATCTAGGACAATTACCCCCTGCGTAATTACCCCCAGGCCAATTAACAGCGGGACGATCCCCGAAAAAATCTGCTTTTATTAAAACCAACTTATTATCAGGGTAGACTTCCCCGTGAATGAACAGGGGGGGGGGGGGTAATTTTCCTCGGGTTGGTTTTCCTTGCCTGTCCTGGGGGGGGGGGGTTAATTGTCCATGGTTATTTTTATGGGTGGGGGGGGGGGGGGTAATTGTCCTAGGGGGTGTCCTTGGGAGGTAATTTTTCGGGGGGGGGGGTAATTTTTCGAGAGGTTATTGTCATTGGGGTAGTTTTCCGGGATGTAATTTTCCGGGGGTGATGATCCAGGGGGTAATTGTCCTGATAGGGTAGATAATAATTATGTTCTCTTTTTTTTTTTTTTTTTTTAAATTTATTTTTACGTAAGCCTATAATTCTCCTTTCAAAGAACGCATACCTCATTATATTTCTTTGATTACTGAATGTAACAGTCTCTCCGTCATCCCTTGTGTAATATGCAAAAACGATTTTTCTTCTTACATTCACCCCGAGATAATACTATTAAAATTCATCGGGTTAGATCAGATTTTAAAAATGAAAGCAAGTAGTATTCCGCAGGTGTTTGTATTGATCGGCGTTTCGGCGGTATAGCTATGCCGTGTTTTTGTCGGTTGTATTCCACGATGCCATTACCGTAAATACACCATTTATCATTATAATCTGGATAATTTATCCGCATTCGGCCAGATTTATATTATTTAATGCAACTGATGATGAACAGAACTAATACCATTTCGCCCAAGATTATTTACAGCTCATTAGAATCGAGTATCTGCTCCTGCTTCCATGTAGACTCATATGTGACGTACAGTATATTCATGAATATTCGTATCCAATCGATGTAAATCATGTAACACCACCGTATGTTCGCGCCGAGAGTTCGACTGGGCGTTGTGGCGTGCGCCTGTAATCCAGTTACTTGGAAGTCGGGGTTGGTGGATCGTTTGAGAGCGGGAGTCCTGTATGTCGTCGCTCTATGGCGATCGGGCGTCCATGCTAAGCTCGGCATCGATATGGTTGATTGGTCGGAGGACTGGCCAACCAGGTCGTCTAAGGAGGGACGAACTGGCCCAGGGCGGAAACGCAGCAGGCAAAAGTCCCCGTGTGGAGCAGTAGTGGGATAGCGCCTGCGAATAGGCGGCGACTTGCAGCCCGTTCAACATAGTGAGACCCAATCCTTTTTTGCATTTTTTTCTAAAGAATAGAAACTTGTTTTTTAACATTCAGTATTTGTTTAATTCTAAATTATGTGGTTGAAAACATCATATAGATTTTTATCATATGGATTTTTTTTAAAAGTCATATAGATTTACATCATATTAATATTTATCAGTATCAATTCAATTTAATTAGTTCAAGTTTATTTAAATCCAAAGTAGTGATGTGAATTGAAGGAGCAAGGGGTGCCCCGGGAAAGTTATTCCCGAGGACAACCACCCTCCGACTAAAATTACCCCCGGAAAATATTCCCCCTCCCTTCCCCCGAGAACAGTTGCCCCCCGAAAAAAATTCTGATTTTACTAAAATCAACTTATTATCAGGGTAGATTTCCCCGTCAATGAACAGGGGGGGGGGGGGGAATTTGTCCTCGGGTTGGTTGTCCTTGGGGGGGGGGGGGTAATTGTTCATGGTAATATTTGGGGAGGGGGTAATTAAGATCAAATAGTAAATCCCTCCTGGTAACTCATACCCATAGCACTCAAACTAAATATTATGGCACTCGCTCTTTCAAAAAATCTTCGGCCGGATTGTGGAATAGCTTGCCTGATATTAATAATAATAATAATAATAGCTAGTTTTTATATAGCACTTTTCAGACCGCAGGCCCTCTCAAAGCGCTTTACAGAAATATATAATTAAAAAAAATATATATACAAAAAAAATTATATTATTACCCCAGTCATCGGATTCAGGTTTACCCGTACACAATGTATGCACATTCTCCATTAAGACTCTGTTGGAGGCCTATCTTTTCGTACATTGATAATTGCGTTCAAGCTATTTAGTGACTTCTTTGGTTATAGTATCATGTACATATTTGAGTTAATTTCCATTACAAAAATTGTATTACCTAAATGTACAATCTATTTCATGTAAGCTATATAGGAATTGCGTATCATTATTGTTGTTTATAATTAATTATTTGTATGTATCAGGCATAAATGTTCATTTTTATTTTGCCCTCTCTCTATTTCCTTCTTTCCTAAGTACATATGGAATTCTTTGTGTTAGTGATAAGCGATATACAAGTAACATCCATTATTGTTATTATCCTAGGGGGTGAGATTCCGGGGGTAAATGTAATTTTCGGGGGTGATTGCCCAGAGGGTAATTGTCCTGATACGGTAGATAGGTTTACCGTTATTACGTATGCCAATTATTCTCCTTACAAAAGACGCAGACCTGATTTTATTTCTTGAATGACTGGATGTAACAGTGTTCCCATGATCAAATGGGTAAATTGAAATAAAATGGAAATAAACGAAATGAAATTAATATGCAAAAACATTTTTTTCTTCCTATATTCATCCCAAGAGATACCATTCACACGCGTCGGGTTAGATCATAATTTGAAAATGAAAGCAAGTACTAGTCCATAGATGTTTGCATTGATCACCGTTTAAGTCATCTAATTTGTTTCGAATCTAACTATGCCATTTTTTTTTAAAACAGTCTCCTTAAACAAAATATGGTTTACTTACCCCGTGCGCCCTCTACAGGAAAAGCAAATCAAAGAGGAAGCTCATAGATATTGTCCTATGTTCGCACCAAGCTTTCGACTGGGCGTTGTGGCGTGCGCCTGTAATCCAGTTACTTGGAAGTCGGGGTTGGTGGATCGTTTGAGAGCGGGAGTCCTGTATGTCGTCGCTCTATGGCGATCGGGCGTCCATGCTAAGCTCGGCATCGATATGGTTGATTGGTCGGAGGACTGGCCAACCAGGTCGTCTAAGGAGGGACGTACTGGCCCAGGGCGGAAACGCAGCAGGCAAAAGTCCCCGTGTGGAGCAGTAGTGGGATAGCGCCTGTGAATAGGCGGCGGCTTGCAGCCCGTTCAACATAGTGAGACCCAATCCTTTTTTGCATTTTTTTTTAAATTAAAGAATAGAAACTTGTTTCTTATAAAACATGTGGTCGATTTATATCATATCAATACTTAATTTAATATTCATATACTCCAGGTTATACAAATTCAAAGGGGGGAAAGATCACATATGAGGAACTATGATGTACAAAATTTAGTGCTTGTATGGTAATAACCCCCCCCCCCCCCCCAGTCTACATCCTTCCCTAGTCTCTTTCTTCCTGCTTTATCCCCATCTGCCATCTCCCCATCTCTCTCTCTCTCTCTCTCTTTCTCTCCTCTCTCTATCTCTCCAGTCTTTTCTCTCTCTCTCTCTGCCTCTCCCAGTCTAGGTCTCCCCCTTCTCCATCTCTCTGCCTTCCTCCTCTCTGTGTCTCTACCTCCTCTCTGTGTCTCTACCCCCTCTCTCCTTCTCTCTTTCTTTCTGTCTCCGACGAATGGATTAAAAATGGCAATGAAATGGGAAGATACTGGGAAAAGAAGATATTAGAAAATGGATGAATCAAAAGCTAGAAAATAATGGACAAAATACGATGCCTGAAACAGACGTGCAGTAATAACAAGAGACACCAACTGCACCTTTCCTTTATGATTTTTTTAATTATGACATCAGTTTAATGATACAAAACATTATAGTATCATTAACTTATTCCAGGCTAGTAGGCATGCCACCAATTACCCTGCACAAGCCCATATTGGATATTGTCATTTTAATATATTCGCAAATATGGGCAAGTTGGCTTATGTCATCCCGCTAAGCCAATACATAAGGGTAAACTGAATCCATCTTAAATCTATCTTTGTCATAAACAAAAATCTATACAATTAAGAGTAGCACAAGACAAATATAACTACTATAACATTCATTTCCATTGCATCACATAATTCAATGCATATCATCTTGGTAATATCATTTCCTACAGACAATTATCTTTGTCATACAAAGTAAATATATCATAACATATACATAAATCTATGCATGAAATAAATTGCACATACTGTAAATATCACTTAGAGTTGTTCTTTTATACAAACTAATAGTATACACTGAACGTAGAAAAGACATAGGCAATACAAATTACCCTTGCACCCATTTAGAAATTGTGACCTGTTTTCATGAAATTTCATCAACTTTCAATTCAGACAACATAATAAAAGAAAAAAGCAGAAGACCAATAATATCATATGCAAATAAGCTTTGAAACAATATTACTACAAATTTCAAATCAATCATTATGGAAGTCCTTTATTGGTTATTCATGAATCTATTTGTGTCTTGGTTTTGATCATAAATGATTGTTATCTAACATGCAGAAAAAAGGCCATATAGTTGATATGATAAAACTAGGCAAGAAATCTTACAAAGAGAGACGCTGCACTCTGTGCTCCTTTGTGCTCCTTAATGGTCATATTCAACATTGAGCCAGCATTTGCACCCGCAACATTGGCACTTTGGCTAGAGGTCAACTTCAGGGTTACGGTTTGAGAAGTAATTTGGGGTCCAGCATTGAAGCTAGCAAGGCAACTAGAATAAGGACCTGACTGAGAAAAGTTAAGCCAGACAACAAAATGTGGAATGGTGTCACGAGAGGATGTCACATAACATGCAAATGCAAATAGACATTTGTTGATGAACATGGGTCTACTTTCCTCAATAAATGCAATAAATAGAGCAGAATATGACGGAAGGAAATATCGGAGGACTTTACTAGCATAGATCACTCCAAAGCTGTAATAAATGGTGTATGAATTTGGCTTTCAACACACACAGATTGGCCCGTGACATTCACAATTCGGGGAGGGGCTAATTGTGTGAAGCTCTCCTTATGTCTAATGATGTTATTCATCGTTAGGGGGAGAGGCTAGTCTAAGTCTCAACCTTTTCTGTTGTAGAATGATGTCATTCATCAATAGGGGGAGGAGCTAGTCTGAGTCTGAAGCTCTACTGATGTGGAATGCAATTCATCACTTTGGAGAGGGTTTTGTTCAAATCGGAAGCTCTCCTGCTGTAGAATGATGTCATTCATCACTAGGGGAGGAGCTAGTCTGAGTCTGAAGCTCTCCTGCTGTAGAATGATGTCATTCATCACTAGGGGAGGAGCTAGTCTGAGTCTGAAGCTCTCCTGATGTAGAATGATGTCATTCATCACTAGGGGAGGAGCTAGTCTAAGTCTGAAGCTCTCCTGATGTAGAATGATGTCATTCATCACTAGGGGAGGGGCTAGTCTAAGTCTGAGCTCTCCTGATGTAGAATGATGTCATTCATCACTAGGAGGAGGAGCTTGTCTAAGTCTTGAGCTCTCCTGATGTAGAATCATGTCATTCATCACTAGGGGGAGGGGCTAGTTGAAGTCTGAAACTCTCTTGATGTAGAATACTATTTGGTTTCACAAGGCCCTTTGAAGTAGGATGGGCTCGCTGCGACATCAAAACTTCACTCAAGATGGCCAACTATAATGATTTGTAAACAAACAAAAGTAAAGAGAGCAATGATCAATGAGCCAAGTTAATATGAAATTAATCTTTTAAGATACAGGATAATCCATCAAATCAGGACTTGACTGCATATACTTGAGAAAATGTACTTACTTCCTTGGCAATGGCACTTCTCATCGACACACAGCATTTTATTACAGCTTCAAGGAGCTGCTGTATGGTATTATCTTGTTATGGTTTCAGTTTAATTTTTAAAAAGTAATTACTTTGATCTTCATTAGCAAATTACACAGGTACAAACATTAAGAGCTTATTAACACCACACCATATCCTCAGAATAATCCTAACACGGGCATATGTAACATCAGAGTACTGCTAAGATTGCTTTATTGTCCATTTTCCATATTAAGACCAGCAACAGTGATAGGATACTCCAATTCAGGATTGCCATTATTTCCACATAGCAATACTCAACCAAAGTCCCACAAATGTTAGATGTTGAAGAATAAGAGTGATCTTACTCACCCTGGAGGGGCCTTCCGTCCATTTCTTGAGATTTTCAAGAGATGCTTCTTGCTCTGGATTCAATGATACATCCTTTGAGAAGAAAAAAAAAATTAATAATAAAAATGATAACTGATGAGGACGCAATTCTAAACATACATTTACATAAACATATACATATACAATCTTGCTGAGATTATAACTGTTGATAATTACATGTTAATCATTAAATACGAAAACTCAATATCTTGTTCTTATAGTAATGACAAAGTATTGTTGAAATATGTATGTGCATCATTTCATGACAATCAACAAATTAATGTAGGAGAAAAGTGCAGTAATAACAATGATAAATGATAAAAATTAACTTTAAGCTTTTCCACTATTTATCAATAAAATCAAAGGTATATTTCATGAACTCACATCATTTCAATGTAAAATTATTTTGTGTGTGTATCCACACTTATATAATAAACTTGTCTGCTGAGAACCAATGCCCTTCTGGCTCTTAAAAGGTTGATGTATTATGTCAACCTCAGATTAATGAGAATTCAACTAAAATTGATATGTTCTTTACACAGTTTTTTGTTAATATCTCTTTTAAAAGTTACAAAAGAAAAGGAAGCAACATCACTATCCTGTTTCTTCAGATTGTTATTAACATCGATAACAAAAATCATTTCACAATACCTCATCAGCAGTATCCTTAGACCCTCCTGCAGCTCCACCCCTTGGCGACGTCGGCCCTCCTCCTCTCTTAGGCTCCTCCCCTGAGCTGAAGAGGCGTGGTCTCCTGTTAGGTGTAAGTGCCGCCCCTCTCCTAGCTGAGTAGCATTGTAAGCATGTCCAGTGTCTCTGACCGTCTATGAGAGCTGAGCAGCCAGCCGTCTGCAGGCATGTGGTGTGGTAGGTGTGGCCACAACTGAGATATAGAAAGAAGGAACAATAGATGTATGGCACATGGTATGGCAGTGGAAAAGAGTGCTGAAACAGGCAAATCTTATTTCTAACACGGAACTACTTTTTCAGTTTGTGCCTATGCAGAATGTTTAGTACCCAACTTAACACAATACAAAAAGAGAAAGCAGACACAGCTGTCTGCAGGCAAGTGGTGTGGTAGGTGTGACCAAAGCTGAGATATGAGAAGAAATAGATATACAAGGCACACTGTGATGGTGGAAGGAACAAGGCAGGTTTCATTTCATGTCACAGGACTATGGATCACATGGTTTGAGGTTTGGGTCCTGCGTCACCACTAATATCCTTTGAAAATGATGAACCAATACTGCTAATGTAGAGGCAATATAATGATACATGCATGTTTTCTTCACCAAGAGTAGCCACTTACTCTTAGCCTTGACTACTTCAATATAAATAGTAACCAATTAATCAAGAAAGATGTTCTTACCTGAAGATTAGAATGTTATCCGACTCGGTTGAATGTGCATAATTCTTTCCACACATCATGCAGCATTCCCTACGAGGCATGAGCCCTCTATTGGCAGCCATGGTCAGGTTCTTGACTGAGCCGTAGAGATCTCTGTCTAGTAATCTATTGGCAGTCTTGAGCAGGGTCTGGAGGAGGTGGAAAGTTAGAGGAAGGTTAGGTAAGAAGGTGAGAAGGGGAGACGATGGAGAGGGAGGTTGATGCACAGGCAGAGAAATATGACAAAACATTGAGTGAAAATTCGAATTAAAGAAAATGCATGAAAAATACAAAAGGAAGAAATTCAATATAATTCTTAAGTTTGTTAAGTGTTGCAATTCTTTTGTCCATATTTGCTCATTTAATATAAAAGCATAACGTGTGCATGAAACAATGAAATTAAAACAATTGGAAACATGTAAATGTTTACAGAATTCATCAACAAAAGCATGGCTATCAACAAGATAAAGATATATAAAATATACATGTATGAACAAATCAATGCAACACTGACTAACTCGTATCTATATCCTGTCGTTCATCTACATTTTAGTGCACTGAAAATTTATAAATTGAATGAAAAAAAAAGTATATATATATTAATATATGATGAAAAAAGAAAAGTTCACAAATATATTAATACCTGTTGATTTAATGTTACACAAACAGACTTGTATAGGCAAGGAAGAGCTGTCAAAGTTGCCAATTTACTACTACTTACTGATTCATATGTGTATGTGTCCAACATCCCAACAATCAGCTCTCGGATCTCCCCAAACCTGCCTGTGCTGTACGTTGGATCCTAGAGTACAAACAAAACAAAGCACAACACTTCAAGATCTCCATAAAGCAATGATATTCTGGAAACACTACGGTCAGGCAATTTTCCAAACTTTAACTCTTAATACATGTATAATCTTCCTATGCCACATCCTATTTATTATGGGATCAATATAACCAGCCTTCAAGATTTTTTACTGTTTCCAGTACAAAATTATTCTTTACCAGTGTTAATAGGGTTGAGCTAATCAAGAATGGAAGTGGGTAATTTTGAAGAAAAAAATCTAAGCCTATTTAAGTGGAATGAGAGGAACGGCAGCCATTATTTTGTACTTGATCATGACAAGTTTTATTTGCAATCTTAAAGACATACCTGCATAATTTTCTGAAGGATTCTAGGTAATGAGAGATGTCCCATCATGCTGTTCAATACATGCCTTGTAACTTCCTTGAAACCTGGGAAAAGGAAGCACAATATCAATTGAAATTTGAAATTTGAAAATCTCGGTTAAACTTAGTTAATGTCTGCATTTACTTATAGAAACATAAGTGTTATGGAAAAATAAATTGAAGGGGAAAAAACAATGAATACGGATTGAAAAAACAAAATTATTATGTCCTCATGATGATGATACAAACAATAACAAGTACATGTATAGCTGTGAATATTACTAATGAAAGAATCTATAAAAGCATTCAAAGTATTAGCAAGTGATTATACTGGTACATAGATTTGTAATATAACTCAATTACCTGATTCCTTATTGAAAATGAATCATTTCCATGCAACAAGCCTTTCTCGATACCACAAAAGTAGCAGAAAAATTCAACACTTCTATGAATCCTACAACATGTATCGGTAGCTACAACCTGACCTTTACAATACAATGAATGAGCAGATGGAGATTCTTACTTTCAAACTGGGTTTCATTGAAGGAGGGTTTGAGTCTTCTTTGTGTTGTCATCATAAGGTCCAAGAGAGGAAACCATAAAGTCTAGTCAGAGGACAAAATGGTATTCATTAAATCTCTGAATCTAGTTCATCTAAAACCAAACAATACTACAAAACACAACTATAGCTAAATTTTAAGTGTAACAACTATTTCAATTGTCATAACTAACAATAATCACCATCACCATCTAAAGAAATATGAACTAAATCCTGAACAATCTCTTGTTAATTTTGTTACCTTCAAAACTATTAATATTATCACCACCATCATCACCAAATTGTCATTTATCATCATTATGACCATCATTATGACCATCAACATCACCATTAGCATAATCATCATCATCATTATCATTATAATCATCATCCTCATCATTATTAGCATCACCATTAGCAAGCACTTCACAATCAACATCATTCTCCCGTAGTAACACACTGTGTTTACCTCTCTTCCCTCTTCATCAAGCTTTGGTGAGTTCCTTTGACACAGCTGAACAAGAACCATCAGAACTACTTGCACATTGGATAGACACAAGGTAATATCCATTCCTGCAAGAACAAAAACAAAAACTAAGAAATATATCACACTAACATTACATCTCTCATGAATCTTAGCCTTATGAACCAACTTCATGGCTTAAAAATCAAACATGGGGTAAAATGTCAGATGTAGCAGTTAAGCATATATATACCATAAGTACATGTACATTAAAATACATTTGGCGTTTTGCATAATGATGACACAGTATCAAATTAAGAGTTCCTTAAGGCAACTTTCACCTGTGTATCAATGTTTATCAAGATAGGAATCATGAAATAGTAGAGGGTCTTGTAATGCTATCTCACCTGAAAACAATATGATGCTAAAGCAATGACAACTGAGAGAAAAGAGATAAAGAATCTAAACACAAAATGGCTCTTTTATGAAGTGGCAACAAAAAGCCTTTGCTCTTGGTTACATTCTTACCATCATTCTGATTTCCATCTTGACCTTTGACCGCATCCGAGAGACCTTTGACCTTGGTTTGTAGGTTCTCCATCAGGATCCCAAAGGCTCCTTGTATGTCTCCAGATTTCTCCAGCAAGAAGGCAGTGGGTTCGGACATCTTGTGCTTACGGACAATCTGTAGAAGGGGGACACAAATTTGTTGTCCTTGTTAGCTGGAACCATTTATCCAAGCAAGATGCTAGATGAGATCAGGTAAGGTAGACTTGAGATAGCTTGGACATGTAGCATGGAGGGTAATAAAAGCCATTGGCAGAATGGGTGCAAGTCTATCCTACAGAATAGACTTTGAAATATCGGTAGAGTACTTCAGACTGTCAATCCTTGTAACATATGGAGCCAACAATTTCTAAGTGAAATTTAATCCAAGTCAATCCAATCCAATGTTTGCAGAGCCTTAAGAGGGCTCGTAAATGAAATTCATTGAACGTAAGCTATTAAATTTTATTGTATTCTGGTAAATAAAGAAAGTATAATCATTTGGTCCATCTGTGAGAAGTAATGAGGCAACATGAGATAGCCTTGTACAAAGGTGACTTCTCAACTCTCATTACATTTCCGGAAGAAAGGCATTAAAGCCCCACTGCACTACTTATAGCTACTTGCGCCCTCTATATAGCAAAAAATGCCTAATCGGTGACCATTGGTCCCCCTTTTTCTTAAGTTAATTGAGAGCTGATGAGATAACCACCTGTCAGTGACCATGCAGGGAGGTCTGATCCCTCCTAGTGCAGTTGGGCTTTAAGATGATACAGAGAAGAAGAAAAAACTTACATGAAGTGCTTCTTCCAGTCTGTAGTTCTCAGACATCATGACAAAGTTAAGGACCTTCTTAGGACTGAATGTACACATCAGATCTAGGAACTTCTCATGAAGAACGCAGTCTGGCTGTGCCTCTTCCCGTCCATAGAGGGCGCTACCTGTATCTCTGCCATCAAACACACCTTCAAGGAACTCATACTGCAGCTGTGGTTGGTTCTGAAATTGTTTTAAAATAAAATCTGATTTATCATTCAGCCTTCAATGCCTATTTTTTCAAATGGAGCCATATAAGACACAAATTTTACAACTTCTTGGTTTTATAGGATAAAGGTATTTGGATCAGGAGAGTTTAGCTGACTTTGAAGAATAATAAAAGAGTAACAAGTAATTCACAAATGATTTGTGGAAAGCAGAGTGAAAGTTACAGTAGCAGATACAGATACAAGTTAAATAAATTGTCACAGAGAAGTTTAGAAAACAAGATGAATTGGTAAAATGGTGAGAGAAGGTCAATACAACAATTCAAATTGAAGACAGGATGATTGGAATATGGAATTGGATGTATCATGTGAGAAAGATAGAATTGTCAGCTGAATAACTAACCTGTAGTTGTATGACAACATCACTCAAAGAATGAGCAAAGACTTTCAAGACCAGCTGGGCGGTTTCCTTGCTGTCTATGGCAACAAGATCCTGTAGAATACAAAGAATGACAAATCACAAAAAGCTCAAAATAAATTCTACCTTTTGATGTTTATAATAAAACGTTAAAGAAGTGGCTGGAGCAAGGGCATGCTCAACTCAGTAACGCTAGAGTGTGGCATCATGATACATGTATATCTGTGAAATCCTTTGAAAACATATTTGAAACAGAGAAACTTCTTCCAATACGACCTGTATGACCCCATGTCTCATCCAAAGAGTGCATGTGCAACTATGCATTTTGGTATCCCAATAGACTGGGGTTAGCAATTTCAAGTGAGAACAGCATGACTTTTCTTAGCCCAGGTTAGGTAAATAGTACCAGGCTAAATTGTCAAGAGAGAAACGAAAAAATCAGTAAATTATGGGGTTAAGGATATAACAGGGCTAAGTGCAAAAAAGGCTTTCAAGTGCAAAAACCTAAAGCTAGAGGTGCTATGGCAACATACAACTATGATAAACTTTGTGATCATCTTATCTGACATGTATATGTATATGTCAATTTTGATGACTAACTCATGTAATTCAAATATAAAAAACATTTATTAAGACTGCATGCTTCAAAAAATTGCCATCGCCCTAATCCAATATGACTATTAACACTTCAGTTGCTTTCTTTGCCACTCTGCACAGCCCTTTTTGCCTCATATGCAATTTACACAAAAAATAGACACCCATTGACTTGATCATTGCTTTGTGCAACACAATGGCTTTGCAAAATGACCCATTTCCACTCTTGATCAGCTCTATGAAACCCTTTTAACCCTGGTATAGATTAATCTTGCACTAGAAACATGTATAGAATCTTTTAGCCTTTGGTATAGCTTTCCCATGATAAATACAGTGTGCCATAATGAGATTATTTGTGTGGCATATAAAGAGTTGATATGCTTGCTTATATCCCACCTACCTGAAGATGTTTGATTGCCTGTTTCTGGACGGCATCTTTCTCTGGCTCTGTGTAGTAGCTCTCAATCATCACTTGGTGAATGTAGGAGAATACTGAGGACTAAAACAGGAAAAGAAAACAACATATTCAATATAATAAATATCATATCAATATCAATCAAGGCAAGAGATCATGCATGCTGAATGCAGATGGTGTACAATTATGAATTTTAAAGCTATTTTTAAACACTGTCAATTTGTTGAATAAGTCTTCTTTCTCCCCTACTGTTGTTGTTTTGTTCTCATATTATTCCTTCATTATTAGGGGGGGAAATGAATACAAATTACAGCATACCTTTCTTGATGAATCTCTTAGATAGCAGAGAAGGATCTTATCAAACTCTCTTCTTCTTTCATACAAGACTTCACAGACTCGGTAGCTAGATAAGGGGAAAGTGAAACAAGCATTACTATATCATCAAAAGTATATATATATAGATACATAATATATTTGGCCTTGAGCTCATACTGTAAAGACAGTGATTGATAAGTTCAAACAGTCTCTTGACAAACTGAAAATGATAGAGAAAAATGATACAAACAGATAAAACCTTAGTTGCAAAATTGAGCAAAATAAGTCTTTTCCCCATAATAAAATATATTCTGAAATGTGTAAAGATTTGTAAAACAATATTCTGAGATAAGTAAATTATTAGTTAGTAAATGATTTCAGCACCTATCTTAATAGCAATAATTGATTATATCCCCAGGAGATAACATTTGTTCATGATCAACATCAAACATATCAGTGCATAGATGATAATAACTCTACTGAACCGCCATGCATAATTCATTCATGCGTTAATTTCCGACATAAGAGATTGTCCGTGTCTATATTGTGTCACTTACAATTTGGCTCCCTCTGCGAGCTGGAGGAGTCTTTCATGATCCACCTGGAGTAGGTCTCCTGCATTAAGAAGCTCCAGCAGAGCTTGCTCCCTCTCTTCATGCCTTGTTTCGCCAGAAGGGTTGGACAGGAACTCCAATACCTTAGCAAAGAATGGAAGGCTCATCAGTATGATGGAATATCAATTGAAATTTAAACGAACAGCAGGGGTACATGTTTGTAACATAAATGGAAATATGATGCCTTGTTTTACCAGAAGGATTGGATAGGAACTCTTACACCTGATATCAAAGCAATATACAGCATGTGATAAAGGGGATATGATGATTCATTAGTATTACAATAAACCAATTAGAAGACAAGTACAATTAATTCAATGTGTATAGTTCATGTACAGCAGGAGATTAAAGGAATGTGGTGTCTATAGGATTCAATAATAATTCTGACAACTCATACAGAATGAAGAGGAACATAGTATATCACAAAGACATATGAACTGAACAACTTACTCTACGGAATATATTTAATACATCAAAGAATTATGGGGTTTGTTCAAGATCTAATACACTTATTTAGATTCTTTGTTGAGTTAAATTCCTACTTCCTTCCCATTTATTGCTTTGTCTGGATAGTACAACATTTACGATTCACAACAAAAAATCTAATATTTGTATGTAAGAAGACTTTTCTAACCTGTTCGAAGAGCATTCTATTGACATAGATTGTGTTTTCATGTTTAGCCATCTGACGTGCTAAGAAGGTGAAGAGACAGCCAACCTGAGCAGGCTAAAAAACAAGAATGTGGTAAATATGAGATTTTACTCAGTTTTAATGACATTACACATTAATCTCTACATCACTGTAAGCCTGTGAATAAGCTCTCCAAACACAGAAGCTGCTGCATCTCTTGAAATTAATATGATTCCATAACCTTAATCTTACCTAGGAGTCATGTTAAAACTGGTCAAATGCTCGCTCTCAAAATCATAACTTAAACATCCCCCTACTCATCATAGTATTTGACAGCCATGATTGTACAATTACAATTTATTGGTCTAGGAAATTAATGTAAGTCATATGAGAGACTATAAATAATTGATAAATCATAAATCTCAACTACCCATCACTGTACACTCGATATAAAACTGGATTTTTCTCTGCCTATTCATTGATGATGATCTAGTCACTATCAATTCTTTCGGCATTCTTTTTTGTACATGTATGTATTCTTACTCACCGAGAAGCCAACACTTTCTACCATGACCTGTAGTAGAATGTCTACTATTCTTTGGCGGGATTGCATCGAACTGGAAACATGAAAACAAGAAAGACAAGGTAATAAACACTATAAAAACAATTATCTACTATAATTATAATATAATTATTTTTCTATCACTAACTGGGTTTACCAAGTGGTACCCTCTGTCATTGATTAGGTAGATAACTCAAGAAGGCAAACAGAGTTATAAAATTTTTAAAAACAGAATTTGCTTTCGGAATAGGACAAAGTAATATATATGTGAGACTGGAATAGAATAATCATATAATTTTATAGTAAGGTTTGTAGTTTTGTGTCTCCTGCATACATTTACAATGTGGCTAGAGTTTAATGTGAATTGGTTCACTTGGACCTCTTTCATCAAAGTACATGTATATGCAGAGCTTGACACCAACTTTTATGTTGGAGCGTCCTTTGAAATAACATTACGATGTATTTCTTTAACTAAACCATCACATTTCAGGATCGTAAAATGTTTAAGATAATCGTTTGCCGTTGGGCCATTGTTATTTCCGAGCCTCGCTATATGCAAATCAAGACAAGATCATATCTTGATTTCTTACTTTGCTTCTTGAGGTGCATCGAACTCTGGCTCCTCGAACGCTAGGGACATGACGTTGAGGAACTCCCTGGTGTCAAAGGTCAGGAGGGTTCGAAGGTTAGGATAGGTAGGTTCATCAGGGGATGGGTCTGTCGTGTGCAGAGCTGTCAGACATCTCCAAACCTACAATAATAAGAAACAACAATACACCATATCAGATATCTGAAAGGGTTACAATTCTTAGAGAAAACTAAAAAGCTCCACTGTGGAAATGGCATTTCAATAGTTAGGAAGGTTTGGATATATGGGTTTAAAAAGGGACAGGTCTTCAGTGTGTTCAGCTGTTAGACATCTCCAAACCAAACCAGATGAGAAAGGGTAACATTCTTAGGTATCAAACCAGGTGAGCAAAATGCAATGTGAGTGCAATAATTGGGAAAGTAGGTTCACCAGGGGATACGTCTTAACAAGAAAATCTGTCAGATATTTCCAAACCTATGATCATATCGGACCATTTGCAAACATGCCACATGATATTTAAAGATTCATATCAATTCAAATCTATTTAAATATAGATTTAGATAATACTATGGTAGTATGCAATATACATGTATTTATTACTTCATTGTCAGTGTTAAACTTTATGTAAAAATTCACAGTGATGCAAGAAAAAAAAGAAGGAATGTTTGAAAGATGAAATATTTTCTTACCCCTTGTTTGACATCTTTGACTAGATGAGGTGGTATATCACCCATAGGGTATGCCCTGCCAGCAAGGCAACAACTGAAAATATTACAAACACACACAGAGAAAGGTAACTAAACATCATCCATGACAATATCCATAATATCTAAACAAACAAGACATTGAAATATGCAATTTCACCAAGAATGTCGCTCCTACCTCATAACCATCGCTAGCTCATTACACACATTTATGATTCAGCATACAATTATATGTAAATTTATATATTAGTATGTAAGAACAACTATTAGCATATCAAGACGAAAATTGCCAGTAATAAATCTTTTCTATTTATATATCAATATTTAAAGCATACAGTATCTTATTGTCTAAAAATGTCATTGTAAAATTTTGCAGAAAGTATGACTCTCACCTGATATATACAAGGAGCTTGTTTCCTAGTCTAATTTGGTTGTCTGAAATGAAGGAAAGGAAAATATAAAGAAAACAAAATTACATAAGAAACAGACTTTTATGCGAATTGAAGACAAAACTTGAGCCTAGTCTTAGTTATGTTTGTGGCGAATTGAGTCTGAAAAAAATCCCTTCAACAATCCAAGCTCTTCATACCATGGACTTGTTGAAGGTTTAATAAGTCTAGCTAGTAATAACAGAATTATAGTGGATAACAGGACATCAACTACTATCTAGCTAAGGGTATCTGATACAACAATGGAATAACATCCCTCCATTTCATAAACAATGTGGGAATTACCACGATTGCACAATGTCCTTTGGTTAGTCATTATTTCACTATTACCACTCTCAACCCAGGTGTTAAATGTGTACCCGGTAGGATACACAAGTCATTGTAGTCGGCGCCTGTCTGGAATGCTCCCCGGGAAGTGGAGAATGTGCATGTACATGTACATCAAGAGAATACACTGTTAGTCCTTACCTGAGAGTTGACTGGTGGCTCTGACAGCAGCTCTAAGCAGCTGAAGAAGCTCTTCTAGAGGGGTCACGTAATCATTCATCCCTTTGTTGTACACGTAGATGATGGCGTCATATAAACCATACGCCCAGCAAAGCGATACGACCTGCAGGGTACAAAAACATCATTCAGAGCAATAAATAAGTCACTCTATAATAATAAATCTTTCTTCTTATAAGGTTGCTCTACTTCTTTATTTATATTTTAAATAGATTCCTAATTGCTGCTTCTTTTGTAGACCTATCACTGGATAAAAGTCTTACCTGTTATTGAAGAATCAAACTCCAAAAATGATTCTACAAAATGATGTATTCATTATTGACAATGGTTTAATTATACTTTTTAAGGTTCTTTCTGCACAGGGGAACAAGGAATTTTGATTATATACTTTTAGAGCCATGATGGGCATATGACAGGCTTCCCATCAACTTACCTGATGAATATCTAAGCTTGCAATGTCCATATGCACTATACAAGCCTCTACATTGGAAATGAGCTCCTTCTGACGATAGTGCTCGATGAAATCTTTCATGACCTCAGGGGTCACAGAGGTCAAACGGTCATTGAGGATGTAAGGCTCAAGACATTGTAGGTAAACCCCCTTGGCGATGATGTCATGTCTGAATTGCTCGTAGATTGATCCAAACAAAACATCCCTGAAACAAGAAAACGGACATGAGAAGATAATATATGAACACACTTACCTGAGCAGACTCCTACTTCATGTATCAAACCAATGCACACATGACTAAAATGGATGTATACAATATATATTCCAGTGTCACAAAACAGCTAATACACTTTAGTGAAGCACTTTGCAGTGATAATTCATATTTATTTCTTCTAGTGATCAAAATAAATTATTAGAAGCTCAAATATGCAATATTAGTTGTCTATTTCATGACTCATCAAGAAATCAATACCATACATCTGTTACAATCAGCCTATTGTGTCTTGTAGAATATAGCTATGCAAACTGTGCACTCAGGCATGTCACAATAACAAAACAAAGGTCATTGTATTCTTTGCATAGAGGGAAAGTCCATTCTATTTTTCATTAACTATATTTGACTGTAGACTCTCATTGACATAATTTGAATCTTTATACAAGTATAAAGATACATTACATTTACAACCAAATATACAAATATCTTAAATGTACATTAATATATTACGATAATGGGTAAGTTCAGGCTAATTTGTTACTGACCACATCAAAGAGGGGAGAATGGTGATTTACATTACACTGTTAGAAGTATCACATGAAACTAATCTAGATCTAGATAATATTATGGAAAGATGATGAAGATGGAGACTTACTTTCTACCCAGCATAAGGCAATGTTCCACACATACTGGTACAACTCTCTGAAAAACAAATGAGAAAAAACAAAGACGGGATAATTCAGTACTTTGCAATGAAAAGGAAATGTGAAAAACCTGGCTGACTGCTAGGTTCAAAGTGAATGGAGGTATGCAAAAGATGTAAACAAATAAAGATAAAGGAAGAAATCCCTTGTCTCTTGAAGTCCATGAGACCAATTTGCAACTCATTTTACTGGAGCATGATCTCCTAGGTCTTGTGAATGAATTTCCATAGAGAGATTGATAACCCACTAAAAGCTGCTCCTGCACAGAATCAGATACATGGCTTTCTTGAATTAAGGTCAATAAAGTTTGCTGATGGTCTTTCTAAAGCAGTACTACCTTGCTGTTTCAATGCCAAGAGAGTTTTGTAGCATGTCTTCAGCGTTGCATAATAATAATGATAATGATAGTAAATCATTTTGTATAGTGCGAACCACATACGATAAAACGTCCCTATGTGCTTCCAAACAACTTTGGATGATATAACGATGGACCTCACCATAAAGGGCCCATGAAATAACCCTAGCACTAGGCTCTGGCAGCAATAATCAATGCACAGTGCATTTCAAGGAATAAAACCTACTAAGTACCCTTTCGACAACTGGATGGAGAGTGGCAAATGTGGATTAATTTGTTGCAAAAAAACGCAAGTGTCAGGCTGGGTTTTGAACCCTCAACCAATGGATTGAGAGTCAAGTGAATGAACCACTGTACCACGACACCTCCACAAACAGAGAATTTAGTATAAAACACAATATCGGGGAGACCTGGTATGACAAGACTTACTTGAAAGTGTTCCTCTAAGAGGTGGATTGCTCCCCTCTCTGGGCCCTGCTTCATCGAGATCTCAACAAAGTCAAACAGAATCTCAAGAATCTAGGAATGGACAAATCAATATAGGATACATCCCATTAGTATAACCCTCTGCCTGCTGGAACCAGGTGATTCATGTAGTAAGCCTATTGAGAATATGTCAGTTCAGTACTCAACTGGTAAATACAGGAGATTTATTTGATACATACATCGCAGTACTGCCTCGTTGTAGAAGTGTTAAATGGAATAGCAAGATAGAAATATAGTGGATAGGGGAAATAACTGGAAAGGCGTTTTGCATATACAAAAGACACTTATGTGACAAAACAAACCATTCCAGAAATATATTAAAAGCAGGAACGTTATAGGAGAAGCAAGTTATAAAATACCTTGTCAGCAACAGCTGCCTGTCTCTGGGGCTGCTTCTTAACTAGACCTGAGGAGAAAAGACAAAACAGGTGGATATTAAGACTTAGCAAGGAGCATACATGACTTAAATACTTGAGGAAATATCATGTTCTATCCATTGACAAGCCGTGTGAGATGCAAGACTTTCTATTGAATAATCAATATTTATATTAGGCAAAATTCTCAGAATATGAATAATGGATATTGTGATATATGTTTGTACAAGGAAACAATAACATTCAGCACAGCTTACGAATAAAAACAAAGGTATACACATTGTCATTGCAGATAACATGAATTGCAGAAGTTGCAAGAAGAGTTATTAATCATGTAGATAAACTGTACTAACAAATACGAAATTGTGCATCAGAATCTCTGCTTGAAAAACATGTAGGAGTTAATGGTAGGATGAAAGGACTTATTTCACTCCTCACTCAAAAAGAGGATAGTGCATCACCAAAACAGGACTTGTTTTGTATATACAAGATCGTATCTCTTTCCCATCTTCTCTAATAATCTCTCTTCCTCTCTCATTCTTTTTGTGAAAGCTTTCTATAATCATCGCGTACCTATGACAGCCTTTGCTTTTCCGTTGTAATAAGAACTAGCCAGTCTTAGACAGTCCTTATACTTCCCGGCTTTCAACAAAACTTCCAGTCGCTGTACGGAAAATAGAGTGAAAGGAAATTATTATACAAAAACAGGAAAAGCTACATATTACATAATATTTTAAGTACATGTTACTCCTGTAGGAGGACATTTATCGAATCAAACTCTATAGGTGTTTCAAAGGAAAACAGGATACTTGCTGGTGTTCAAACAAACAAAAATCATTGGTGTTGGCTCAACATCACACTGTACTAAGCATACTGCACAAGTCATATGATATATCTGACATCCTAAGTCTGCATTGAGATATATACACAGTACTTTCAAAAGAATAGGAAGTCACTGAAAAGAAGACGGTTCATGAGTAGAATGATTGAGGATTGTTATACCTGTTGCCATGTCCTGATGCTCATCACATGAATAGACTGTATGGAACAAACAACAAATGATAACAATGTCATTTCAACATCTATAATATTAATACAAAGCAGTGCTGGGTCTAAAAAGGCATCTGATATATCATAACATTACAATAACTGCTTTGATCCTGGCACAGAATAATCCAAAATTATCATGTTTTACCTCGTGGATTCCTTGAAGGTTCTCTTTTGTTACCTCTTTTTTTCTCTTTGGATCAAATTCTCTTCCCTTCTTTTTGCTTTCCTTCTGCTTCACTTAATTCTATAATTTTGTAGGTTTGTTTTGATCAGTTTTCTTGCTCATTCAGAGTTCTCAATTCTTCAACAATATTATCTCACAAGATTAAGCCGTAACATCAAGATTTCATTAAAATATTGCTGTATTAAATGTAATTGTAAAAATGACATTGTGTTGTACCTTGGTGCCGAGTATGATAAGCTGTCCCTTGTTGGTAGCAATAGACTGGTAACATGCCCTTTCTCCAGCCAATGCCTGCAAAATATAATGAATACTAATCAACCATGTGATTTTATACTTGACATGTGTCTATACTGAGTTGTCTCTCTTCTTTCATTCATTAAAATCTAAAACCAATTATAAAATACAGATGACAAGCCGAGACAGAAAACAAGTTTTTAAAACGGTACGGCAACTGAAGGGATAATTATGTATTGCAGGTATATGTTTATTCTAAATTTACACTCGTTTTCTGAGCAATTACTTCACCATGATTCTTTTTCTTTACCAATGCTTTGCTGACATTGCCTCCTGTAGCGAGGCTCTTGAAGTGACTGCTCCCGTAGACAAGCTCAACATCTCCGAGATCGATGACCTCCAATTCCTCTTCTGTCTTGACATCGATGACATGAAGCTTCTCGGTCGTATCCACCGTCACTAGAGTCTTTGCATTCATCCACTGTACATGATACAAGATTTATATCTTTAGTTATCTTCTTTGCTATTTATTCAATACAGGTCAGTTTATTCACATGCATATATAGAATACATGCATGTTCAATGCATATTTTCATTATCCTGTTCATTGAATTCTAATCATTGCAATTTAGGAATATTTACTCATCAATCAATCAATAAAATACTCTTTGAAGCAAAAAGAAAAATTTCTTGAAAGGTGTAAGCGATTAAATGAATAGATTTAGGAAAATATGTAGAGGGATGTTCTTTTCATGATGCTGTGTGCAAGATACAGCACGCATGAAAGGGCAGCATCCCCAGACAAACAAAGATCTGTAGGTTGTCACAGCGAGGATAACATCCTCTATGCCGCTGACATCCACCTAAAACTGTGATGAAAAATGCTAGAATTCACAGTTAACAGCATGTGGTTTGATGCTTAGAATAATGATTAAAAACATAATTCTGTTTACCCAGGGAAACCTCATATTGCATCATGCTGTTCTTCCCGAGGGCTCTGCCAGATAATGGTACTCATTCACTGCGGGGTGGAGAGTGGCAAATGCGGATTAATCATCTTGCAAAGTATCAGGCTGGGATTCAAACCCTCGACCCTTAGATTGAGAGTCAATTGAATGAACCACTATACTATGACACCTCTATACTTTGCCTGATAATCAGTGAGGAAAGGAAACGTATCTTACCTGGACATTAAGAAGGCTGTAGGATAGAATGATGCTCTGGAGTGGAGCAAACTTCACCTTGTTACCATCTTCTTGATATAGCACCTACAACACAAATAAAAATGAGGTGTTCAATATCCCTTTACTACGAGTTTTATTTACTTTTACGTCTACATTCTGCAGCATCATGCTACAAATATATTTTGGTTAATGTACAATGTTAATGGAACACAATAATGATTCACATGTCCATGCCCATAAATAAGATTAAATCATTGAAAGTTCGGGGAATCGATTGATGTTCTCTCAAATTTTGTATAACATGCGAAATCAAGACCAGAAATCCTTCCTTCAATTGGTGCCTATTGTTTTGTGCAAAACTGTACATGTGGCAAATGAGCAACCATGCAGATAGTTGAAGAAAGCAACAGAAAGGTTAAAATGAAATACCTGATAGAAGTTGATGGTGTTTGTTCGAGCACAGGCAAGGACAGGGTCAACGACCTTAGCGGTGTCAGTGACCTGGATGATGACAAACTGCCAGGCAAGGAGGGGCAAAGTTGAAGGATCACCCTGAAATAAAAGCAAGGTATGTCAAACTCATTATAAGGAACATGATGTATTCACGAGCCATCTCTTGTAGACATTTCTGTTGCAAAGACAAAAAGGGAAGGTGGGTCACATATTTGTTAAATATTTGTAATACAAACAATTATTTTCTCTTGATAACTTTTCAACTTACCACTAATGTTTTCAGAAGATGACATCTTTGGGAGAAAATATTCCACAGGTTAACCGATAGACATATAAGTACAAAAGAAAAACATGTCAAAATCTGTAACATTTTTTGTTTTGTTTTGTTTTTAGGAAAAGCTTTCCCACTCTTCTGAACTTACTCTGAGTTGTTTTGTGAACATAACAGTCAACCTTGGTCTCAGTCCAACGATGAATACCTGAAATAAATAAATAAGAGGTAAACAAAATTGTTTTGTGGTAGAATACCTAACATTATACAGAGATCAACCTTTTCCGATCAGTTCCGGACAGTTTCTTTCATAATGAAATGACATGATGAGAACTCCACTTTATCTTTAATCATCTATCTTTCAATCTAAACTACATTGAAAGATTTAAAAAAAGAAAACTAGACTGTTTACCTTGGAGAGGGTTGCCATGGCAAGAAGTGAGAAATCTTTGAGAGGATGGCTGGTGATGGTGGTATCCATTCTGAGTGGGGCTAAGGTGCATACTTCACCTCGGCTGAAAGATAAACACAGACATGATTTAAAGAAAATCATACATCTAAGACTACAGTTGCATTATTTATGGGGAAAAAAACTGAATAGAGCATTACATGAGGCAAATATAACTGCAAGCAGTGAGAAACATGTAGTCGAGGGAAGCACTTTCAAGTCACAAGGCCGCTGAGACTATTACCGGTACCTTTCATAGATTAGTATGGATCTGTCCAATGCACTAGCCAATAACATATGGCATCGAGGATGTACTTGACTACAACACTGAATGAAAGTATAGTAACTGGTTCTGATATGGAAATCTAATGAAGGAAACTGAAACTGGATATAGATAAATGTTAAAAGATATTTTCGGTGGAAATTTTTAGTGTTAGGGTCATACAGGCATTCCATTTTCATCTCTATGAGTTCTAAGTAATGTTAAAATATCAATGTTAATGTTGAAATGTCAAAAATTAACACAAATCGACAAAATTACCTTCCTGAAAACAGGCATCTGGACTCGCATGTTCTCATTCCCATGACTCTCCTGTTAAGAAAAAAAATGAAAGAATTGTGTTAACTTTTATGCCCTCCACAAAAAAGGAGAAAATTAACCGATGCAAATGAATACCGGTAGGTGTAGCAACATAAAGAAATTCATTCAACAAGATACCTGTAGACTGAACACACATGTATAAAGAAATTCATATCTAACTCAGGTTAAAGGTCAAATTGTCATTTTCAGATTGCATACAATAGTACATTCTATTAGAAATACCAGTACCGGTAGTTAAAATATTGTTAAAAGATTCTAAGGTACACTGAACACATGGAAATATCATTGAAGTTTTTTAGGTGAAGTTGAGGGAGGACTTACTTCATGCTGAGCTCAAAAACTGATCCTCCGGAGTCACTGCATATAGCTAAGGTGGGATCATCTGTGAACTGGTTTAGGGAGGGACAGAGAAAACAAAATTACATTATTCAATCATTCTTACTCTTTTTCTCTGTCTCCTGCTGGAATACAACTGTGATATACCTGGCTTGAAAAGAACAAGCATTTTTGTGGCACATGAAAGAAATTACATGAACAATGCAGCTCCTAATGCCTGAATAACTACACAGATAATCATGACATATTAGTTAATGGAATTTTTTACGATTGAAGAAACAAGACAGAAAAACTAGATCTTACTTGAATATGTAGCACTGCTGAACCAGGTGGGTGGGCGTCTGTGATTGTTCGTAAGAGCTTCCCTGAGGTAAGGTCCCACATTGTCATCTTCAATGAGCAAAGATACAGAAGAAAAAATAATTATTTAAAAAAAACGCTATATCATGGATCTGATATCCAGTTTTAACCAGCCTACATATGAATATATATTCCCATTATGTGTAGAAAGAGTTTTAAAATGTTTTTGAACATTAGGTTTGTTCATCTTGTTGTTCAAATTAATAAAAAGACTAATCAAATTATTTTATCTTTAATACTAATACACCTACATTATTATATTACAGCCGCTGGCAAGCCTTTAGATTTTGTTAATGCGTGTCACATTCAAAGAATAATTTTGTCAACACGAGTACTGCAATGGCAATGTGAGTTAAGTTTCAAAGAATTTGTCACTATTGAAATATCATTGCCTAAGAATGAGATGTGTGAAGAAATTGCAGACCATTTATAACATGAGTTTATAAATGTATGTGGTGCATTTATAAATCTCATTCAAGTCAATAAAACATCAGTTTTATGAATAATGGCAGATTTAAAAGTGCAGCTTGACATGATTACCTGTCCCTTTGCGAAGCCAGCCAGTAACCTTGTACAATCATTGTTGATACTTAGAGCTGATACAGCTCCGTACTGAGCACCTACAGCTGTGCTTCCTAGACACCAACGTAGAACCTGCTTGGGATCTGGTCCAAAATTAATAAAGAGGAAAACATACACGATTGAGCAATAATAATAACTATGTTGGAGATTTCATAGCACACATACATGTTTCAACCATGCAAGGTACTCAAGGCGCTCCAATATTACCCCGGCTCTGCTAGGCTAATTTCAGTGCTCACAGCATTCAAGGAATTTGTTTCTACTTGTACCAATTTAACACCTTGGTAGAGGATGACAAATGTAGATTAGTGTCTTTTCAAAGGGAATGAAGTTGATATGAGGGTATAATGATGGACAGAAATATTGCAGATGCTACTATCTTTCTATTTACACTTCAACTTGACCTCTGTTAAACTTAACTTTAATCATTTTTTTCCCCTTATCATTTCATGATTGATGACATGTTCTCTTAGATGGGGATATGACCAAATCAACACTGTACATTCAATAGTAACTATCAGTGAGAGCTCTTGACCTAACATATTCTACTCACCAAATACAAGGATAAGACCATGTGATGTTCCTACAGCAATCTGGACAGAGATAGCAATGGCTGTTGGTTTACCAGCATCGACACGATCCTGTCATTCAAAATACAAGAAAAATTAACACACAATGAAAAGACAGGCTTGTGCTAAGCATCTATAAAAGAAGGACATCTTTGAGTTTTGTAGCATCCACATGTTACTTCTTTGTGCCTAGGAATTCAGATTCAGAACATCTGTAAATAAAAGATCCAGACAAAAGACAACTGAACTTTGTCTAATATACCAGGAATCAGTAAGCTTTTATGCTTGCTAAGGACATTCAATTCACAAACAAGTGCATGAAATACTACAAAAACATCAGTATAATAAATTTCTTTCTGTAATCCTAATACTGTAAGTATCTCACACATCAAGATGATAATCCACTGGTAGGTAATTCATAGATGGTAGAGCTTTGATACTTACAGCTGCTGATGAAACTTGGGATGCAATGCCTCTCAACAACACATGCCTTAGGATCGAACCGTGCGCCTCGTACTGAATATTCTTCTTCCTACGGAGGTTAACGAGAAGAACAACAAAGTTATTCGTGAGGATATCAGTACATAAAAGAATGTCATTTTCAGAAATTAATGTAGTCTAAGTGCTAATTCATGCTTTTAACTTTTTATTTTATTTTGGTAAACAAATAAAGTATTTGAGGTATTTGAAGGATTAGAGGTGTCGTGGTCTAGTGGATATGTCACTGGACTGTGGATCACATGGTTCGCGATTCTAGTCCCGCCACAGCACTAATGTCCTTAGGCAAGACATTTATCTACATTTGCCACACTCAACCCAGGTAAGGTAAATGGGTACCTGGCAGGACTTAATTCCTTGAAATACTAGAGCGCCATGATGGCAGCCATGCTAATGCCAGGGTTACTACCGTGGAGCACCAGGAGTGTCGAGCTTGACAGACATGAGGGCTTTACAAGAACCCACTATTATTGATATTGATTACGAAAAAGGAAAAAACGTATCATCAATAAATGAACATACACCATCTTGACTTACTGGTTAGCAGTTGGGGATTTGTCAGGAGTTGCTGGTGTTTCAGATAGAGAGACACTATCACTGTTATCAGGGCCAACAGAGAAGAAACTCAATGAATGATTATCAGGTTCAAAAGATTCCTCAGGCTGTAACATAAAGAAGTGATAAATGTGGTTACAAAAATGAAAAAAAGCTAAAAGCTAAAGAAAGGGAAATTAACACAAAATTAATGGTATGACTTTTAGTCTTGCTAATGTCTATACCATCAACGAAACAATACACTGGAGTAGTGTGCAAGGATCTCTGGAAAAATCCAAAACAACACTTGGGGGAAAATGAAAAAGGAAAAATACAAGAACAAAATCAAATATACATGAGTGTGAAAAAATTTCCATTTTAGTACAGCGAATACAAAAACCCTTACGATTAATCAAAAGAGTATTTACAGAATGATAACCAAGTTAATTTACATTGAATAGAACCACTAGGTTTGTCATTTGAATAACATTTATAGAGATTTTCAGAAAATAAAACATTCACTGGAATTGAAGATAGAATTTAATAAAGAGGTTTGATCATCAACATGTATTCACACCATCCATCAAATAACTTACCTCATTCAGAATACTTTCAAGACTTGGAGCTGAATCTACTTCAGGAATGTCAAATTCACTGTCATCAATCTGTCAAGGAGAAAGCACATATGTTTATGTTAATCTAATATTCCATCTTATGGAAATTTAACACTTAACTGAGCCCAGTACATGTAAATGTGCTCGAAATATCCCCCCCCCCCAACAAAATTGTTTAATATTGTCAACCATACACTGTTTAAGGAGACATATCTCAACTTTTTAATTGTGTAAATCTTTTGAGGAAGGGAGGTGGGTAACATGACTGAAATGGGTTACTTTATCTGATCATTTCACAAACATTTGTACAATTTCCTTTGTGGCACTTTAAAGCACAGCAAACTAATTTGGTTAAAAAACATGCTTGTTAAGTCAAAATGTTCTTTATAATAAATGGTAGGGATGTAGCACATGAATCGAGGAGACCCAAACAAAGTCTTTATATAAACTTTATAGAAGAATTTGCTGCATCATACTCATTTTTAACAACTATAAAGTACCATGTTGTATTCCGTTTTAAAATTGCAGAAAACAATGGTATCTACTTACTGTGAAGTCATCCAAAGTATAGTCCAGTATATCTGTAGCTGCTACTGCTGCCTCGACCTCATCTCCAGAATCTTCCATGATGACTTCTAATTCCAGTATGGGCTGATAATTATTGTTTCTGATCTATGACATGGATTTTGGAGCTGAGGTCGGGATAGATAACACACACACAATGTCAAAATTGCATTCATTCAATTTATTTATTTTTCATGTTCATGTTTGTGATAAAGAAGATATTGGATAATCATAATCAATATGTTGCTCAAAGTAACAGTAACGCAGGAAAGACAAAGAAAATTCAGACACATTATTAAAGCCTCCTATTCTGATGCCAATTTGTATATACCTACATGTACAAAGAGAATCATCACTAGCACTACAGTGAACATTTGTTATGCGCCATGTGTCTGACATTATTGACACGTCTGGTGACGTTGTCAGAAATTTGGTAAAATTGTGGGTGTACATGTAACTTCAAGCAAAATTAAAAGCATCTAAACATAACTTTCACATAATTCAAGATGTAGTTTAATACAGTTCTTTTCACTGAAGCTTCATCCCCTTCAATGAGAGAGAGCAGACTTTCGATCTGTTTTCATATGATGGTTGCTGGCATTCCTGCTTGAATCGTTTGGATTTATCACAAGAGTTTGAGAATGCACACATGCCTACTGTAGGAACTCATGTTATGACAGACATGGTACAGATCAAACGTCAGTTTGGGCAAACTCAGAATCCAGATTTTGGGATGCCCTGGAAACAGCCTAGACCTACTGTACACTTTTCTTGTCCATCACATTATGAACGACAAATCCTTGGGAAGACGGACAACCCGTAAAGCTACTAGACGATGAACTGGAGATATTTTATTACGCGTAGACCCTAGTCTAATCTCAGCCTCAGATCTGTTTTTTTTTTTGCATTGGCGGCGTGCAGATTGGGACCCTACACCTGCAGAGCTAGAGCGCCGAAGAAAAAAAACGTCCGATCCTTATTTTAGAGATTTAATGAATATTTACTTAATTTTGGGTATGTTTTAGTGGGGGATTTCCACGCCGGAGTTACGGGTCAAATTTTGGATAGGCTCCTGAGCTGAACAAGCGCCCTAAGCTCCTGATCAACACAACAAAATAGTGAATATGTGGGGCAATACAAAACAAAATTCATACTCGATACCGATCGTTATTTCATGATTAAACGTACCAAGACTGGCAAGAGGTAAGAAACACAGGATATCAAAAGAATTCACAGTATATTTATTTTAAAAAAATGATTGAAATAACAAAATAATCATCTCACCTTGCACTTTCACCACGAAAGGCCAATCAATTTCTGTCAGCAAGACAGACAAATCCAATCTCCGCCCCGCGCGTGTTGAGCGGTTAGCGCACGTACGGTGTATATACGTACGGCTCGCGCGCCAGACGATGAACAGAGAAAGTTATAGATTTTCTAGGATTAAATTTGGGACAGGGGATCAACCATGAATAAACAAATATTACCCCTCCACCCACCCCCACTGCATGGGCTAACTTTGATCTGTTTGAATCAGTGGCGTAGCGTGGGCTCAACCGGGGCTCAATCATCGGGGGAGGGGGGGCACCAGTCTTGATTCTACTCAGCGTTTTCAACCTTTTTTTAAATTCACGGCACCCTTTTATTTTTTAGGAGTTTAAAAGTTTCGTATCACCCCTATCCAAAGTCATCAAAAAGAAATTGCTTTTCCGTCCATGGTATACATTTTCTGAGGGCTAGGCCATGAAAGTCTCTTGCCCGAAAATATACCAACCGAACGACCAAACAAATTGCACTTTTTTTAATATGTTTTTAATATTTTATTTAGATCTAATCATCAATGTACACTATAGATGAAATGTAAAGTTATATAATCTGTCATCTCCTTGCTAAGAATCATCCCGACGTATCATTTTTTTCAGACGTCAAGCTAGGGAAAAAAAGACTGTTGTGTTATGAATTTCATTTCGATATAGAAATACATTTATATCGTGCCGACCGATATTTCGCTCAGTGGGGGGGGGGGGGGGGGGGGGGGTAGGGGTAGGGAATATTCATTTTTCTTTCTTTAAAAAAAAAATGAACGGGGGGTTTAACCCCCAAAACACCCCCTGCGTACGTACCTGAGGGGGATACTTATGGACCTAGTCATGGACCTAGTAGATCCATGCTGCAACCATCCCGTTTCTAAATTTTGCAAGTTTGCGAAGCGAGCGAGGAAAATACACTTTACTACCTCTGAAATGTTATTTCCTCATAATTATACACAAAATATACACTGTCGCTCATATAGTTGGAATATTTTTGTTTTTCCCAAATTTATGGAATTATTTCAAAAATAATTTAAAAAGAATAGATCTAGATAATAGTATAAATTCTCAGATTTTATTGAATAATAATTTGCCAATGTGTGTTTTGCGTGACTGTTAAAGCATGTGTATGCTATGCTTATCAACTAGGGGTCGTACGCCCTTAAGTCATAAATGACAGTAATGAGGATTAATGCCCCACAAAAGGGCACTAATATAGCACATCGACACGGTTTTGATCCTGGGGCCTCACAGTTACGAGGCCATTGCTTTGTCACTGAACCATGACAGTACGCAGCGGGGGCTAGGGTAGGGGGCAGTTTCCATAAATAAAAAATAAAAAATAAAATGCAATAAATTTTCAATAATGAATTGCATTTTACCCCGGTTCGCAACATTAAAAATCCTCTATGTGCCCATGCCTTGAGCCATAATGCATCGCCGTCCAGAGGATTTTTTTATGTTGGGACCGGGTGTAAAATGCAAATAATTATTGAAAATTTAGTACCTTTAAGTAATTCCAAAATATTTTTTTTAATAAAAACTAAATTACTCCTCGCGGTACCCGGTTAAAAAACGCAGTACTAGATGATCATAATTTGAGTAGGCAGAATGACTAGGCCGAGAGGGGACAGGGGAGATACCCCCTTGCCCCTTTAGAGTGGGAAAATTTTGCATTTAAAAGTAAAATGGACATACATTCTCTCTCTCTCTCTCTCTCTCGCTCTTATGATGCCGTATGCTATCTATTTTTCACCCCTATCTCCATTTCCTTTCCTTCTCTGCTGTACATTACATCTAAGACGCGGATCGGATCACCCCAAAGCAATTTTCGATAATCCTTGAAATCCACCTTCTACAACATATTTTATTTAAGACTTATCATCTTGTCGCCGTGTAACTGATTCACTTAATATCATAATCTTTGAAGATCGTTTTCGAGCAATCTATCTTCTTATACTTTCTCACATTCTTGTCCCTTCCTTTTTTCTTTTTTGTTGTTGTTTTGTTTGGGGGGGCATGTTATTCAAATTGTGTGAAATAGACACATACCATGATCAGCATAGCGTCAGTATTTCCGATCCTAAGGTTTTTATATCAGATTTAGTTCGCCTGTTAATAGAAAAATACAGGTTTTAAAGAAACAAAGTCACGCACCGGCGTATTCGAAGGAGGGACAAGGGGGCAAGATTTCCGCCTAGAAGAAAGATGAAGCCAATATATACATAATTGAAACAATTGAAGAAAAACAATCCTTCAGAGTTCACTTCTTCAATAGAACCAGTTTTTATTTTATTATTTATTTAGATAGTGAATTCAAAATTACGATCTACAAACAAATGCAACAAAATATAAAGAAAACAATGCATGATTGTGAACTTCAGATTGGTGGATACAATATGTTTTGGCCAGCAGAAAGTCAGAGAGGAGTTATAATTTACTGCAAAAAGAACTTACAATCAAAGCAAGTAGTTTTCAAAGACAGTGACTTCATGGAAAGTGTATGGTGTGCAATTTCATCAGGATCAGAGTATTTTCTCTTTGGATGTGTCTACAGAAGCCCAAATAGTTCGGACCCAAATAATGAGGCTCTCTTGAAACTCTTTTATGAGATAGAAAATTCTCCTCACACAAATATATTCATTGTTGGAGACTTTAACTTACCAAAGATAGATTGGGATATTCTGTCTGTATCGGGAACTGGAAATAAATTTGCCAGAGACTTTGTGGAAGTTCTACAAAATCTGTATCTTTCACAACTTGTGGAAGAGCCCACTAGGATGAGAGACGGGCAGAAGTCCAACGTTCTAGACCTCGTCATTACAAACCAAGTAGACATGGTCGACTGTTTAGGGATATCACCACCGATTGGTAAAAGTGACCACATGGTGCTAGATTTCAGACTTTTTCTGCCTGGTGGGGTTACAAGTGTACCTGTAACAGAACGCTTTGCATTCTTCAAAGGAGATTATGAGAGTATGAGGAAGCATGGGAAAGTAAAAGATATGTTTGTTTCAGCAATGGTGCAGGACAGCGATGTTAATACGGATAATGACATTCTTGTACATTGCTTGGAAGAGTTAACAGCCAAGTTTATACCAAAGGTCAAAGCCAGGAATAATCAGCAGCCACTATGGATGAACAACGATGTACGTCAAGCAATCAAATGTAAACATAAAGCTTGGAACCGTTTCCAAAAATCTAGAAGTGAGTCCGACAGAGTATCCTACAATATAGCAAGAAATGAGGCAACCGATAAAGTAAACATAGCAAAGAAGTCATTTGAACGTAAGCTGACCTTAGAAATAAAATCCAATCCTAAAAGTTTTTGGAGATAAAATTATGTTCAAAGTAAAAACAAATTTAAACAGGGTATTGGTGACTTGGAAAAGCCTGATGGAACCATTGCAAGCGATGATGCAGATAAAGCAGAAACACTGAACTTATTCTTTGCATCAGTCTTTACTAAGGAGGATTTATCTCTTGTACCAGCCCTTGATCTGAGAATTCGTGACAAGCAACTGGATACGGTCTGTTTTAATTATGAAAATGTCAAAAAAGCTATCATGAGATTGGACCAATCAAAATCTCCTGGACCAGATAACATTCACAATCGCATCCTGAAGGAATTAGTGGACGACATTTCCCGGCCACTTGCCCATCTTTTTAACAAATCTATGTCGAGTGGCGTGGTATGTGACTCATGGAAAGAAGCCAATGTGACTCCTATTTTTAAGAAAGGAGATAAAAAGAAAACAGGAAATTATCGTCCAGTCAGTCTAACCAGTTCTCTTTCCAAACTAATGGAGACCATTGTACGTGATGAAATTGTCAAATATATGAATGAGAACTCTCTGTTCACGGAGGAACAGTACGGATTTAGAAGAAGTAGATCTTGTGCTACACAGTTGCTAAATGTTTCTGAAACCTGGACAAAGGAATTAGACAACAAGGGAAGTATTGACTGTATCTACTTGGATTACAGCAAGGCCTTTGACAGTGTCCCACACGCTAGACTTCTGAAAAAAGTAGAGGCCTACGGTATAACAGGTAATCTGCATAGATGGATCAAGTCTTTCCTGACTGGAAGAACTCAGCGGGTAGTTATAAACGGTACCCCATCGAGTGCATCAAAAGTTGTCAGCGGCGTAGCTCAAGGAAGCGTGCTGGGGCCGACACTGTTCTTGTTGTATGTTAATGACATTCCAGATATTATATGTAACACTGAATCAGAAGTCAAACTATTTGCAGATGACACCAAAATCTTCTCACCAATTCACTCTTCATTGGATGGCAAAAATCTACAAGCAGATCTAACAAAGCTCACAAAATGGTCCCATCAGTGGCAACTACCATTTAATCAAGAGAAGTGCAAGGTAATCCACTATGGTCGAAGAAATCCTTGTTATGATTATTTCATGTCAGACGAAGATATACCTATTCCTGCCGTTGAAGTAGAAACAGACCTTGGGGTAACCTTTGACCAGCAATTGAGGTTTTCACGTCATGTGGATGGAGTATGTGCTGCTGCAAATCGCAAGCTAGGGATTATCAAGAGGACATTTTCTAATTTGGACAAAACAGGCTTTATACATCTATACAAATCAATTATTAGACCAAGACTCGAGTATTGCTCAACGGTGTGGCATCCTGTATTGAAAAAAGACAGCACGAAAATAGAAAAGGTACAGCGTAGAGCAACACGCCAAATACACATGCTACGACACTTGAGCTACGAGAAGAGACTAAAACATCTCAACTTACCATCTCTTGCCTACAGACGCCATAGAGCAGACATGATACAGATATACAAAATAATGCATGGCCTAGATGAACTAGATCTAGCACACTTCTTTGACCATCCAACTGATAATAGAACCCGTGGCCATCGATACAAGATCGTTAAGAAGAAAGTCTACTCGAAGCTTAGACATGGATCATTTTCACAGAGAAGTATCAATGAATGGAACAACCTCTCCTCTGTAGTTGTGGAGAGCAAGTCACTAAACAGATTTAAATCCAATTTGTTGAAGTTTTGGTCAACAAGAAAAGATCAATTTGACCCAGAGGAGTCCTTTGCTTGTCCATGTTCGTCAATTGCTGTATAGCGCCACTAAACATGTGCCAAAATATGGATTCTTCATCTGAATGTCAACGAGAGGCAAATAAGTTTTTAACTTTAAATGCCTACTTCCAAGGTATATTTCCAAGGTATATATACAATCGCATTGCGCTAAAATTGCGCCTGTCTTGGCAACGGAGCTATCACTATTGTTATATTGTTATCATAGATAGCGAACTCAAACTTACAAATTACAAACAATATGTATAAGTGCATTGCACTAATTGAAAGTGGCGCGTTGATTGGCAACATAATTATCATATTAGGTATTTCTACATCATAGTCAAAATCATGTCATGTCAATCTATATCTCCATTTGTACTTCATTATACTTGTGATTTCTTTTTGTTATATCAGCAAAATCATTTATATCATAAATACATTATGCATGCAGATTCATATGTTAACCGCATTATTGTATGTTGAACTAAGACTTGTTCAGCTCTGGCTGAAATAAACTCATGAAATATTTTTCTTTAATCTTACATGTACGTTCAGTTTCATCTTCTGTTCTCATTTTTTAAAAAGGTATGACATCACATTCTTGATTTATTCCTTTTGCACATTATTATTATATTTACTCATATTAAGGATTTGATATTTCTGTTATCTCTCATGCGCTGACAATGAATTGTCCTTCTATTCCAAATAATACACGTATATGAATGAAGTTTACTTACGAGTATAGAGAGTATATTGAAGAATTGAGAATATTGAGAATGATAATAATATTGAGAATATTAAAGTGTTTCTTCTTAAAATATTTAATTTGCGGCGATGGGGCTATCCCTGTAACGCACGCCCCTTGATAAATAGTTTCTGTTCGTAACTGTATTGCTCACAATAAGCTGATATACAAATTATGTTTCCCCTCCCGAAAACATGGTCTGTATACGCCACAGGACACACAAGTATCACCACTAGAATAGCTTTATTGTCTATTTGCTTGTTTGCTTGTGTGCATGTTTTTAAAACTTAAAATAAAAAATACTATCATCTGGTCGTGCTCGCATTGGCGGATGTAACTCTATTTATCTTCTCTTAGTTTGGGAGTTGGTTGCGATATTTTCCACACACCTTTGTTTTCTGCCATCCTATACACTCTCCCAATTAATTAATGATTTCCCTCTTGGTCTGGTACCTTCGTCTTTTCCTTTCTATGAATATTTCAAGAGACTCTGATGTATTGTAACTTAGCCAGAGTATTAGGCCTTTCTTTCTTTAACCATTTCTATCTGGATATTTTGTTCAAGCCCGTACATACGCAGTATTTCTCCGTTAGTTTTTTTTTTAATCTTTACATGATATTCTCATCATTCTTTAGTACTCTAACCTTTGAGAATATCACTTGAACAGTATGAGAGTCCTACTAGTTATGCATAGATTGCATTTGGCCTGCAATTAGTCTACGGAGCCCGTATCCTGCCTGTATCCCCTTTTCCGTGCGGCCTCCGTACGGAGGCAGGAGGCGGCCGTACGGATTCACGAGCTCCGCAAAGCTCCGCGGCCTCTACGATTTTGATTCACAGAAAGTTATACAAATTTGAAAAATCGTAAGCCCGTAGTCCGTAGACATGTCGTAGGTTTCATTGCACAATGCCCGCACGGGCATCGCGCGGAGGACTCGCGCTGATCGTGCAGCAAACGCACGATTTTTCGGTGAACATGGAGGCAAAAAACGCTTTAAAAATCTTTCCGTGCGGAGGCTGCGGATACTAGACGGCTACTGCATTGGAATTGCACGATTTCCGTACAACCTCCGAGCACCCTCTGTACGGATTTGCCCCAGCCTCCCCCGAGCGCCAATATAAGAAATGGCACGATGCTCGTAGATAATGTAAACACTAATGCCCCGGTAACACTTGCCCGCATTTTGGTTTGCGCATAGTTTGCGCATAGATATACTCTTGCGTGCCAATGCGGGAAGTATTCGTAGTAGCGTGCGGGAGGATGCGGGCGAATGCGGGCCGTGCGTGAAATGCGTGACAGAATTGTCAAAATGTTTAAAATTTTGGCACGACAATTTTGTTTGGCAACGTCCGTGAACACTTCGTGAATTTTGTGCACCCTATGCGCTGCCTAGTCTCGCCAGTGCGCCCCGATGCGTATCCGTTGGCCTAGTGGCACGCATGTTCACGACTAGTTAACGACCAATTTGCGCACAATTTGCGCATTGGCTGCGCATACTTCCCGCGCAGTTTTCGCATGCCATGCGCATAGTCTACAAATGCGTGTCCTGGTGGTTACGCATTGCGTGAACTATTTGTAAATTAGACGTGACCCTGCGTGCCACTTTTTGGCACGCATTGACACGCCACAAGGCGGGGCAGTGCGGGACCAAAATGCAGGCAAGTGTCAACGAGGTAAAACATCGTAGCCCGTGGCCTCCGATGCCCCCAAAATCGCACGAAAAATCGTAGACTTATCGTACGGCGCCCGGAGCAAATCTAATCCAAGCATTAGTTGTAAGCGTTTATTATGTATATCCAATGCACAGGGGGCTGGTGACTGAATGAAGAAATATCATCGAGATGATTCGCGGATGATGAAGAGTCTATCCGATGTGCAGAAGGCAATCTCCCCGCTCCTGAATGTTTGAAGATAGTACCAATGTCGTTCTGGAATTGGAAATTTGAAGTGGCTGACAATGGCTTTCGTAACTTTCAGCTCACTCGTGTAGAGAGAGATGTTCACCGTGCCCTCCTTCTGATTCACCCACGCAATGAGAACTGTATCATCCTTACCCAAACACGGGAATGCATTGACGTCATCTTTGGTGATACTACGCAGAGTGGTACCAGACAAACTATTTACCACCCGTACGGTATTTGAATCATTCACCAGGATCCTGTTGCGTCTTGGCATTGCAAAGATCTGCCGAGGTTCATAACCATCACAATGAATCTCTCTGATTGATTTCCCGCCTTCTGCATTGAAGACCTGTATCTGCTTTCGTTTTCTGTAACTTATGAAAATGTGGCCCTCTATATCTTGGGTTAAGCTACCGTTTCCACCCTCTTCATGACTCAATGTGACAAACGACAAATCAAGTCTCTTACCTTTCGGCGTGTAGAGGGTAATTTTGTTCTTAGAATTTAGCACAATGTAGCAGCAATCTGACCTATATTGAAAACTGTGAACTACAACACTATTCAGAATTATTCCTCGTATCACACCAGAAGCAGAATAGTTGACTATTCCTCCTGTATGGCAACCTACAGACATGGTATTGTTAGGTGATGCTGCCAAACTAGTCATGCTGTTGGCTGTTGGTAGCTGTATGTCTGCCACCAATGTCCATTTGGGTTCTCCTGTACGAACATGGCCTAACATGTTTTTAGTCGTTCCCTTGTAACTCTCAAAGCGAATGTATTCACGCTGCTCTTTCATTCTTCTCAGCCCTTCCTGATCAAGTTCTGCTCGGTCCAGGAGATGTTCTAGTTCTTCACATAAGGTGCTGTGCGCTTTCAGAGCCACACTCTGCAGAGGATATCTCAGACCATTCTTTACCAACTCACAAAGCGTGTTTATCCGTGTTTTCTGCTGACAAGATGACTCATTCATTCCTAGCAATGTCGTTTTGATCTCTTTTAGCTCTTGCCTTCCTTCACTTTTCAGGAACTCTTTACGCTCTATCAGTTCGGCAACAGATCTTTCAAAAGCTTTGTTGACATCGTCATGGAGTTGTTTCTCATCCATCTCGCATTTGTCCTGTTGTTCGGTTATACAGGCAATGTGTTTGTCGATGTCGCCTTTCTTTGCCTCTGCTTTTGATATCAGCTCCTCAATGCTTGTTTTCACGGCACTTTTATGTCTTTCTGCTTCCTTTACCTTATGTCCTTCTTGTACATGCTCTACTACACCGCATCTGTAGCATATGTACCTGCCGCAGTTGACGCAGAAACATTCTTTATAACCATTCGAGTGTTCCTTACACTTGCATGATCTCTTCAATGTGACGTCGCAATCAGACATATCCCCATCGTTGACGTTCGTATGCTCCTTTTCTTGAGTCGCCACATCAGCTATCATAGATGCCAGTGCTATGCATGTCGGCATTTTACTAATGTCTCCATTTGCAATTGGTGTGGACTCTCTGCATATTGGACATGTTATGCTTTGCTTATCTTGATGAAATTCGAGTAGGGTTTCTAAACAACCCTTGCAGAAGGTATGGAAGCATCTTAGAATCTTGGGATCCTTTAAGAAGCCCAGACAGACAGGGCACTCTAGGTTCTTATGAACAGCTTGCCTGAATGATGAGGTCATCTTTTGGCTCTGAAAGTCATAGATAAAGAACCATATGAAGATAATGACACAATAATTATGATTCGATATGGTAGCTCAAGTAAAAGAGTTTCAGTATTTCGTAACATTGTCCTATCCTGTAAGATAAGAATACTGAGATGCTCCTTCTAAAGCCCATATTGATTCACTCCCACTTTCTAGAATCCCCCGATAACCTTCTTTTCCTTTTCATTTCTTTCCTTTCTCCAAACTGAATCAGTTTGATTATTATCAATAGTACTCCGCAGTATATCGTGCATACAGAATTTGAGTATTGTTGAAATTGAAGGAAAATAACGATTATCGATTGTAATAATTATGATAGAAAAATTCTGTTAGAAATAATCTGTTGCATCTATCAAATGAAAACAAGACAGTTTCTGTTCAAGTCACTCAAAAATTATTTAACTTACCATGTAGGGTTGTTATTTTCACGAATAGTCGAAAAACTTGTCAAAGTCGAAAGACCGTGCAATACCAAGAATTGGCTTTCAAACATGCAGGATACAACAAAACTATAAAACGGCGATGACAGGCATAGAGTGTATTGCTAAGCAATGCTACACCTAGCAAGCATGTTAACAGGATTGTGAAATGCTTTATTAACTTGAAGCTTTTGGTTCTTCCTGGGCGGAAGTCAATCATGAAAGTGACTGTGACTCATGACCCATACTGTCCCCTTTTCTAACCCCTGGCTATGGGCGTATATACTGGCACATTTCACGGAGGGGGTGGGGGCTGATGCATCTTGCCCAAATATCGACCTTTTCTCTTCTTTTTTTTAATTCGTGATGAGCTAATCGACTGAGAAAAAGAAATTTTACTAGAGCAAAAAGAAAAACGATAAAAAAGAAATATAAGAATTTAATGAATCTCTTCCGAGGTAATCACATTTCGGCTTCTCGTTGTCCAAAAAAGAAGCCATGTGCCAATACATCACCTTTTTAATGAGATCATCCGCTATATGTCCTTGGAATCGGCATGTGAAATTAGAGTCATAGCATGGCTAGCGCCATGCAGTCATCGAGACGGGGCATCGGCATGGGGGCAATAATTACCATTCATAAAAGGTTGGCGACGTAGGAATACACGAAACAATCGATTAGGGGAAGGACTAGGGAGAGTTCCTACTTACTTTTGTATATTCCACTGCCCCTCTCCGATTCTCCAACACCTCTTTACTCATTTTACAATTTCTTCCACTATTCGATAGGGGAGGCACACCCTTGCACCCTTCATATCAACCCCTTTATGATGAAGAATGACGTCATTTTATTAAACAGACATAAAAGAAGAAAACATATTGAGAAAGTGTTCTTTAATACCAAAGTATTTTTATTATTTGAAGTATGAGTTGTGAATTACAAACCATGTACATCTGCATGCTTAATGTCACGCCAAAATAAATAAACTTAAAACTCATAACATGCTTATCAATTATTATTTACCCTAACCTTTTCTCCTCAATGACTTGATAAGTTAGCCAATATGCTGTTGACCCACTCTCGTTTAAACATGATTGCCGCCAGGAAACATGGTCGGAATGAATTTGCCGATAGGTTTGCCGACCAAACGACACAGGCCGGCACAAAACAAACGATAACGTACAAAAATACAAGTTCTCAGATTTCATATTTTTCCGGCCCCAGTCAACAAAAGTAAGATTTGCCGACTGAATATTTAAGAAAGGGAGGCCACATTTACCCCCCCCCCCCCCCGCATATCCTTCTCACAAGCTACAACTAGCGACAGCCCCTGAATGCAGTCTTCATGAATCATGAATGTCCATGGGCTTCAGAAGGGTGGGAAGTGCTACACCTTTCGGAAATCCTCAGATCATGATCTAATAATATAATGTTGTCATTTATCTAACCACTGAGGGCGACCTTGTGATACCATGTCATCATTATCATCAACATCATCAGTTTTTATCTTAATCATCCAGCAAACACCGGGCTATCAAGCTATTAAGCAAACACTTACTGTGATAGCCCTTCTTCTGCATATTTAATAATGAATAATTCTTGATAGTGTGTTATCAGTCAAAATTTGTTTTAATGTGAACACTTCTATTATTATTATATTGTGTATACGTTCAGAATACTAGTTAAATGTTGTATCGTTGAAAAGTAATTTGATTTGTATGTTTTGCAGAAGAAAATAAATTTCATTCAATTAAATTAAATTGACATCATAAGGTTATATATTACACAAAGAGAGCACTGGTGTAGGATGGGGGTGCAAGAGCAATAACTCTACATAATCGTTTGGGAGTTTTATGACTTTTGTCAGTAGCTTTGAAATGTTGTCAATAAACAAGTAAAATGTGTAATGTACCGACAAAGATAGTGAGAGAATTTCCATTTTGATTCTATCACAAAAAATACCACGTAACTGATTGAATTTTACATTGGAATCAAGAAATGACATAATGATGTTAAAATGGTATTATTAATTTTAATTATTAACTAGTTTTACGATGCGAGTCATAAATGCTATTACCCCGCGTTGCTAGGTATACTCATTAAATTCACCTGGGTCGATAATGTTGCTATAACATCTTCTCTAACAATGAAAGGATGCTCGCTCAAGAGTCAAGAACCTTCACCACTGGACCATATATCCTACAGTACCACAACTAAACTATGTATATGCAGACGGAACAATGAAAAGATGCTCGCTCAAGAGTCAAGAACATTCACCACTGGATCATATATCCTACAGTACCACAATTTTTTTCCTCTTATCCTCAAGCGAGGTTTTTATTTCCATAATAATAATAATACATTTGTACATTAATAACTCAATGATTGAGTGGAACATAACATAGGCTAATGATTAAAGTACATTCAACAATTCTTCCAGCTTAGTATTATTTTCTTTGCTAACACATTCATATCTTTAAAAAAATCTGAGCAACGACTTGAATTCAAAAAGACAGAACAATGAAAAGATGCTCGCTCAAGAGTCAAGAACATTCACTACTGGACCATATATCCTACAGTACCATAATTAAACTATGTATATGCAGACGCAACAATGAAAAGATGCTCGCTCAAGAGTCAAGAACCATCGCCACTGGACCATATAGTCTCACAGCACCACAATTAATGTATATACAAACAGAACAATGAAACGAGTCAAGAACCATCAACACTGGACCATAATACAGTAACAAAATTAAACTATGTATATACAGACAGAAAAGCTTCCCGCTCACTTCTCTTACTTACATCTACCATTCAATATTATCATATGGTTGTCACTACAAGCGCGTGGAATATGAAAGGGGCTACAAGAAAATCGAAATATGGGACGATATTTATCAAGTCAAACTCCGGCAGCGGGATTATCTAACTATAACACATTTTAAAGAATGAAATTACATATTCAAAAAAATGTCGTTTCACTCACTCTCACTCATTGGAAATTAGAACTTTATATTCGGGCAAAACTTAAGTCTAAATGTATTTTAACGCTTAACAATGAAACAGACATCTTGCAGGTAGATATCTATAGCTTTGGTCCTCTGCTTTTTATTCCAATAAATCTGTCAAGAGACACAGACGTATTTAACGTGGTCAAAGTAATTGCTTTACTATCTTTAACCATTCCTATCAGGATATTAATTCAAGCCCGTCTATACGCAGTATTACTCTGTTAGTTTTTTGTCTTTACATGATATTCTCATCATTCTTTAGTACTCTAACCTTAGAGAACATCACTTGAACAGTACGAGAGTCCTACTAGTTAGTTGTGGTTTTGGTTATTTTACCTGACTGCTAAGAAAGCATAAATGCTTGTTGGTAAGCAACCAGACGGCCGACGGTTTCAGATCCTCTCCGAAGGAACTTGGTAATGAGGATTAGAGCCGTACCAAAGGGCACTAGCGCATCGACTTGGTTTCGAACCCGGGTCACCGGGTTACGAGACCACTGCTCTACCAACTTAGCTATCGCGCCTCCTCATGCAGCGTTTCTTCTGTATAATATCCAAGGCACAGGGCTGGTGACTGAATGAAGGAATATCGATCATCGCGATGATTCGCGGATGATGAAGAGTCTATCCGATGTGCAGAAGGCAATCTCCCCGCTCTTGAATGTTTGAAGATAGTACCAATGTCGTTCTGGAATTGGAAATTTGAAGTGACCGATGATGGCTTTCGTAACTTTCAGCTCACTCGTGTAGAGAGAGATGTTCACCGTGCCCTCCCTCTGGTTCACCCATGCAATGAGAACTGTATCATCCTTACCCAAACACGGGAATGCATTAACGTCATCTTTGGTGATACTATGCAGAGTGGTACCAGCCAAGCTATCAACCACCCGTACGGTATTTGAATCCTTCACAAGGATCCTGTTGCTTGTTGGCATTACAAAGATCTGCTGAGGTTCATAACCATCACAATTAATCTCTCTGATTGATTGTCCGCCTTTTGCATTGTAGACCTGTACCTGTTTTCGTTTTCTGTAACTTACGAAAATGTTGCCATCTTTATTTTGGGTTAAGCTACCGTTTCCACCCTCTTCATGACTCAACGTGACAAACGACAAATCAAGTCTCTTACCTTTCGGCGTGTAGAGGGTAATTTTGTTCTGAGAATTTAGCACAATGTAGCAGCCATCTGACCTATATTGAAAACTGCGAACTTTAACATTATGCAGAACTGTACCTTCTATCTCACCATGTGCAGAATAGGTGACTATTCCTCCTGTATGACAACCTACAGACATGGTATTGTTAGGTGATGCTGCCAAACTATTCATACTGCTGGCTGTGTACGATGCTCGTATCTGTATATCTGCCACCAATGTCCATTTTATACGAAGATAGCCTAACATATTTTTAGTCGATCCCTTGTTACTTTCAAAGCGAATATGTTCACGTTGCTCTTTCATTCTTCTCAGCCCTTCCTGATCAGGTTCTGCGTGTTTAAGGAGATGTTCTAGTTCTTCACATAAGGTGTTGTGTGCTTTCAGAGCCACATTCTGCAGAGGACCTCGCAGACCATTCTTCACCAACTCACAAAGCGTGTCTATCCGTGTTTTCTGCTGACAAGATGTCCCATCCATTCCTAGCAATGATGTTTTGATCTCTTTTAGCTCCTGCCTTCCTTCACTTTTCAGGAACTCTTTACGCTCTATCAGTTCGACAACCCGATTTTCAAAAGCTTTGTTGACATTGTCATGGAGTTGTTTCTCATCCATCTCGCATTTGTCCTGTTGTTCGGCTATACAGGCAATGTGTTTTTCGATGTCACTTTTCCTTGCCTCTGCTTTCGATATCAGCTCCTCAACGCTTGTTTTCACGGCACTTTTATGTGTTTCTGCTTCATTTACCTTATGTCCTTCCTGGACATGCTCTACTACACCGCATCTGTAGCATATGTACTTGCCGCAGTTGACGCAGAAACATTCTTCCTCACCTTCCGAGTGTTCCTCACACTTGCATGACCTTTTCAATGTGACGTCGCAATCAGACCTTTCCCCATCTTTGACGTTCGTATGCTCCTTTTCTTGAGTCGCCACATCAGCTATCATGGATGCCAGTGCAGTGCTTACGTTCGGCAATTTACCTATGTCTCCATTTGGAATTGGTGTGGACTCTCTGCATACTGGACATGAAATGCTTTGTTTATCTTGATGACATTCGAGTACGGTTTCTAGACAACCCTTGCAGAAGGTATGGAAGCATGTTAGAATCTTGGGATCCTTTAAGAAGCCCAGACAGACAGGGCACTCTAGGTTCTTATGAACAGCTTGTCTTAGTGATGAAGCCATCTTTTGGCTCTGAAAGTTAGATAAAGAACCATATGAAATAATGACACAATAATTAGAAATATTTCTGATTCGATATGGTCGGTGATGTAAAACAACTTCAGTATTTCGTAACATCGCCCTGTCCTGTAGGAATAGATGTTCCTTCTAAACTCCATATTGACTCCCTCACACTTTCTCGAATACCCCGATGACTTTCTCTTCCTTTTCATTTCTTTCCTTTCTCCAAACTGAATCATTTACATTATTATCAATAGTACTCCGCATTATATCGTGTATGCAGAATTTGAATATTGTTGAACTTGATAGGAAATTAAAAGGGAACTAACGATTATTAATAATAACTATTATAGTAAAATTATGTTAAAAATTATGTTGCATCAATCAAATGAAATCAACAAAAGTTTTTGTTCAAGTCACTCAATAATTATTTAACTTACCAGTCATATAGGAGTTTCTTCACGAATAGTCGAAAAACTTGTCAAAGTCGAAAGACCTTGCAATACCATCGATTGACTTTCCGACATGCAGGATACATGCAAACTAAACGGTGTTGACAGGCATAGTGCGTATAGCTAAACAAAGCTGTATAACGAGCAAGCTTGTCCACAGGATTGTGAAATACTTTTTAAACTTCAAGTTTTGGGTTTTTCCAGGGCGGAAATCATCATGAATGTGACTGTGACTCATGACCAATATTGTTCCATTTTCCTTCCTGGCCAAGGGCGTACCTGCACATTTCACGGGGGGGGGGGGGCTGATTGCATGGGTAAACAGACACTAAATAATAACCATGTTCCTTTATAATAAATGCATTTTTCAGTGCCCCCTACTTTTGAACACGCTCCGCCTCCCCTGGGAGAGGCCCCCTCGCAACCCCCCCCCCCCCCCTTTGCTCGGGCGTTTCGCGCCGCCGAAAGGGTCCACCTCATATACTGTCTGCACCCCAGAACTAAAATCCTAGCTACGGGTCTGTTACCGTTCATAAGAGGTTGGTGACATACGAATACACGAGACCATTGATATCGATTAGAAGACGGACTAGGGAGGGATCCTACTTACTTTTGTATATTCCACTTCCCCTCTTCCGTTCTCCCACACCTCTTTACTCATTTTACAATTTTTGTTCTTCCACTATTCGATAGGGGAGGCACACCCTTGTGCCCTTGAAATCAACCCCTTTATGATTGAAGAATGACGTCATTTTATTAAACAGACATAAAAGAAGAAAACATGTTGAGAAAGTGTTCTTTAATACAAAAGTATTTTATTATGTGTAGTATGAGTTGTGAATTATAAACCATGTGCATCTGAATGCTTAATGTCATGCCAAAATAAATAAACACAAAAATCATACATGCTTTATGTATTATAGTTTTACAATGACCTTTTTTCCTCAATAACTTAATAAGGTAGCCAATATGCTGTTGACCAATTCGCGTTTAAACATGATCAGTGCAGCCAGGAAACAGGGTCGGAATGAATTTGCCGATAGGTTTGCCGACCAAACGACACAGGCTGGCACAAAACAAACGATAACGTACAAAAAGACAAGTTCTCAGATTTCATACTTTTCCGGCCCCAGTCAACAAAATTAACATTTGCCGACTCAATATTTAAGAAGGGGAGGCCACATTACCCCCCCCCCCGTATCTCCTTCTCACAAGTCACAACTAGCGACAGCTCCTGAATGCAGTCTTCATGAATCATGAATGTCCATGGGCTTCAGAAGGGCGGGAAGTGCTACACCTTTCGGAAATCCTCAGATCATGATCTAATAATATAATGTTGTCATTTGTCTAACCACTGAGGGCGACCTTGTTATACCATGTCATCATTATCATCAACATCATCAGTTTTTATCTTAATCATCCAGCAAACACCGGGCTATCAACGCTTACTGTGATAGCCCTTCTTCTGCATATTTAATAATGAATAATTCTTGATAGTGTGTTATCAGTCAAAATTTGTTTTAATGTGAACACTTCTATTATTATTATATTGTGTATACGTTCAGAATACCAGTTATATGTTGTATCATTGAAAACTAATTTTATTTGTATGTTTTGCAGAAGAAAATAAATTTCATTCAATTAAATTAAATTGACATCATAAGGTTATATATTACACAAAGAGAGCACTGGTGTAGGATGGGGGTGCAAAAGCAATAACTCTACATAATCGTTTGGGAGTTTTATGACTTTTGTCAGTAGCTTTGAAATGTTGTCAATAAAAATAAACAAGTAAAATGTGTAATGTACCGACAAAGATAGTGAGAGAATTTCCATTTTGATTCTATCACCAGAAAAATACCACGTAACTGATTGGATTTTAAATTACTTTTTTTATAGTTCTATAGGAATCAAGAAATGGCATTATAATGTTAAAATGTTATTGTTAAAATAAGTTTACGATGCGGGCCATAAATGTTATTACCCCGCGTTGCTAGGTTTACTCATTTAATTCACCTAAGTCGATATTGTTGGTATAACATCTTCTCCAACAATGAAAAGATGCTCGCTCGAGAGTCAAGAACATTCACCACTGGACCATATATCCTACAGTACCACAATTTTTTTCCTCTCTTATCCTCAAGCGAGGTTTTTATTTCCATAATAATAATAATACATTTGTACATTAATAACTCAATGATAGAGTGGAACATAACATAGGCTAATGATTAAAGTACATTCAACAATTCTTCCAGCTTAGTATTATTTTCTTTGCTAACACATTCATATCTTTAAAAAAATCTGAGCAACGACTTGAATTCAAAAAGACAGAACAATGAAAAGATGCTCGCTCAAGAGTCTAGAACATTCACCACTGGACCATATATCCTACAGTACCTCAACTAAACTATGTATATGCAGACGCAACAATGAAAAGATGCTCGCTCAAGAGTCAAGAACCATCAACACTGGACCATAATACAGTACCACAATTAAACTATGTATATACAGACAGAACAATGAAAAGCTTCCCGCTCACTTCTCTTACTTACATCTACCATTCAATATTATCATATGGTTGTCACTACAAGCGCGTGGAATATGAAAGGGGCTACAAGAAAATCGAAATATGGGACGATATTTATCAAGTCAAACTCCGGCAGCGGGATTATCTAACTATAACACATTTTAAAGAATGAAATTACATATTCAAAAACATGTCGTTTCACTCACTCTCACTCATTGGAAATTAGAACTTTATATTCGGGCAAAACTTAAGTCTAAATGTATTTTAACGCTTAACAATGAAACAGACATCTTGCAGGTAGATATCTATAGCTTTGGTCCTCTGCTTTTTATTCCAATAAATCTGTCAAGAGACACTGACGGATTTAACGTGGTCAAAGTAATTGCTTTACTTTCTTTAACCATTCCTATCAGAATATTTATTCAAGCCCGTCCATACGCAGTATTTCTCTGTTAGTTTTTTTTTTTTTTTTTTTTTTTTTTTTATCTTTACACGATATTTTCATCATTCTGTAATACTCTAACCTTTGAGAATATCACTTGAACAGTATGAGAGTCCTACTAGTTAGTTGTGGTTGTGGTTATTTTATCTGGCTGCTAAGAAAGCATAAATGCTTGTTGGTAAGCAACCAGACGGCCGACAGCTTCAGGTCCTCTCCGAGGGACCTGGTAATGAGGATTAGAGCCTTACGAAAGAGCACTAAGGCATCGACTTGGTTTCGAACCCGGGTCACCGGGTTACGAGACCACTGCTCTACCAACTAAGGGCGCGTTCATGCTTGATTTTGACGGCCAGAATCAGGCATCTGTTACGCGTTTAGTTTAAAACACGGTTGCGTCTTAGCTCATTTTTGTAGAATCACCGAAAAACGGCGATCACGATCGCCGATCGTAAACTCACAAAAAGATGCGTTTACAATTTGTAAACGCGTTTAAATGGGGTCAACGCACTGACCTCTAGTGGGTCTACGTAGCATGCACAGTGAAGGTTTGCGAATCCAGCTGGAAGACCAATTAAGGCCACACACTGAGAATTGCCTGGGGGAGCCAGAGAAGTAAGCATGAACACTACATCGTGGAACTGCGATCACGATGAGCGTTTACGATGAGCGTTTCAGATCGCTCATTCTGCCTTCAAAATTTAAGCATGAACGCAGCCTAAGTCATCGCACCTCCTCATGCAGCGTTTCTTCTGTATAATATCCAAGGCACAGGGCTGGTGACTGAATGAAGGAATATCATCGCGATGATTCGCGGATGATGAAGAGTCTATCCGATGTGCAGAAGGCAATCTCCCCGCTCTTGAATGTTTGAAGATAGTACCAGTGTCGTTCTGGAATTGGAAATTTGAAGTGGCTGACGATGGCTTTCGTAACTTTCAACTCACTCGTGTAGAGAGAGATGTTCACCGTGCCCTCCTTCTGGTTCACCCATGCAATGAGAACTGTATCATCCTTACCCAAACACGGGAATGCATTAACGTCATCTTTGGTGATACTACGCAGAGTGGTTCCAGACAAGCTATCAACCACCCGTACGGTATTTGAATCATTCACCAGGATCCTGTTGCTTGTTGGCATTACAAAGATCTGCCAAGGTTCATAACCATCACAATTAATCTCTCTGATTGATTTCCCACCTTTTGCATTGAAGACCTGTATCTGTTTTCGTTTTCTGTAACTTATGAAAATGTAGCCCTCTATATCTTGGGTTAAGCTACCGGCTCCACTCTGTACATGACTCAACGTGACAAACGACAAATCAAGTCTCTTACCTTTCGGCGTATAGACGGTAATTTTGTTCTTGCAATTTAGCACAATATAGCAGCAATCTGACCTATATTGAAAACTGCGAACTACAACATTATGCAGAACTGTACCATCTATCTTACCATGTGCAGAATAGGTGACTATTCCTCCTGTATAGCAACCTACAGACATGGTATTGTTAGGTGATGCTGCCAAACTATTCATACTGTTGGCTGTTGGTAGCTGTATGTCTGCCACCAATGTCCATTTGGGTTCTCCTGTACGAACATGGCCTAACAACATGTTTTTAGTCGGTCCCTTGTTACTTTCAAAGCGAATATGTTCACGCTGCTCTTTCATTCTTCTCAGCCCTTCCTGATCAAGTTCTGCTCGGTCCAGGAGATGTTCTAGTTCTTCACATAAGGTGCTGTGCGCTTTCAGAGCCACATTCTGCAGAGGACCTCTCAGACCATTCTTTACCAACTCACAAAGCGTGTCTATCCGTTTTTTCTGCTGACAAGATGTCTCATCCATTCCTAGCAATGATGTTTTGATCTCTTTTAGCTCCTGCCTTCCTTCACTTTTCAGGAACTCTTTACGCTCTATCAGTTCGACAACCCGATTTTCAAAAGCTTTGTTGACATTGTCATGGAGTTGTTTCTCATCCATCTCACATTTTTCCTGTTGTTCGGCTATACAGGCAATGTGTTTGTCGATGTCACTTTTCTTTGCCTCTGCTTTTGATATCAGCTCCTCAATGCTTGTTTTCACGGCACTTTTATGTCTTTCTGCTTCCTTTACCTTATGTCCTTCTTGTACATGCTCTACTACACCGCATCTGTAGCATATGTACTTGCCGCAGTTGACGCAGAAACATTCTTCATCACCATTCAAGTGTTCCTCACACTTACACGATCTCTTCAATGTGACGTCGCAATCAGACATTTCCCCATCTTTGACGTTCTTGTGCTCCTTTTTTTGAGTCGCCGCATCAGCTATCATGGACGTCAGTGCTATGCATGTCGGCAGTTTACCAATGTCTCCATTTGAAATTTGTGTGGACTCTCTGCATACTGGACATGAAATGTTTTGTTTATCTTGATGACATTCGAGTAGTCTTTCTAGACAACCCTTGCAGAAGGTATGGGAGCATGTCAACATCTTGGCAGCTTTTGGGAAGCCCAGGCAGACAGGACACTCTAGGTTCTTATGAACAGCTCGTCTTAGTGATGAAGCCATCTTTTGGCTCTGAAAGTTAGATAAAGAACCATATGTAATAATGACACAATAATTAGAAATAATTCTGATTCGATAATGGTCGGTGATGTAAAACAACTTCATTATTTCGTAACATCGCCCTATCCTGTAGGAATAGATGTTCCTTCTAAACCCCATATTGACTCCCTCCCATTTTCTCTTTCCTTTCATTACTTTCCAATCTGCAAACTGAATCATTTAGATTATCAATAGTACTCCGCATTATATCGTATATGCAGAATTTGAGTACTGTTGAAACAGTTGTAATAACTTTGATAGAAAATTTTTGTTAAAGGTAATATGTTGTATCAGTCAAATGAAATCAACAAAAGTTTTTTTTCAAGTCACTCAATAATTATTTAACTTACCGATCATGTAGGAGTTTTCTTCACGAATAGTCGAAAAACTTGTCAAAGTCGAAATACCTTGCAATACCATCGATTGGCTTTCCGACACGCAGGATACATACAAACTAAACGGTGTTGACAGGCATAGTGCGTATAGCTAAACAAAGCTGTATAACGAGCAAGCTTGTCCACAGGATTGTGAAATACTTTTTAAACTTCAAGTTTTGGGTTTTTCCAGGGCGGAAATCATCATGAATGTGACTGTGACTCATGACCCATTTTGTTCCATTTTCCTTCCTGACCAAGGGCGTACCTGCACATTTCATGGCGGAGGGGGGGGGGGGGGGGCTGATTGCATGGGTAAACAGACACTAAATAATAACCATGTTCCTTTATAATAAATGCATTTTTCAGTGCCCCCTACTTTTGAACACGCTCCGCCGCCCCTGGGAGAGGCCCCCTCGCAACCTCCCCCCCCCCCCTCTTGCTCGGGCGTTTCGCGCCGTCGAAAGGGTCCACCTCATATACTGTCTGCACCCCCAGAACTAAAATCCTAGCTACAGGTCTGTTACCGTTCATAAGAGGTTGGTGACATACGAATACACGAGACCATTGATATCGATTAGAAGACGGACTAGAGAGGGATCCTACTTACTTTTGTATATTCCACTTCCCCTCTTCCGTTCTCCCACACCTCTTTACTCATTTTACAATTTTTGTTCTTCTACTATTTGATAGGGGAGGCACACCCTTGCGCCCTTTATATCAACCCCGCTATGAAGTTACCACATGATTGAAGCATGACGTCGGTTTATCATACAGACATTAAAATAGAAAAATATTGGGAAAGGGTCCGTTACTACCTAACTATATTATTATTAGTAGTAAGGGTGTGAATTACGAACCATGTGCATCTGAATAAACTAAACAATGATAATACTCTTTATCAATTATTATTTACCCTGACCTTTTCTCCTCAATGCCTTGATGATGTAGCACATATGATGTTGACACACTCTCGCTTAAAAATAAGTGGGGCCAGGAAACAGGGTCGTAAAAGAATTGCCGTCTAAACAACACATGTGGCCGGCACAAAACAAGCAATAACAGGACAGGTTATCAGATTTGATATTTGTCCGACCCCAGTCAACAAAATTAAGATTTGCAGACTGAATATTTAAGCAGGGGAGGCCACACCCCCATATCCTTCGCACAACTAGCCCTGGATGCAGTCTTCATGAATTACAATGGGCTTGGCGGGGATTGCTACACCTTTTGAATAGCCTCAGATCACAGGGGCGGATCTAGCTTTTTGCCAAGGGGGGGGGGGGGGGGTTGACCCAGTGGCGGATCCAAGATTTTCCGAAAATCGCGCCGTTTTCTTTTTTTTTTCCTTCTCCCCCTCCCATGGGTGTCGATCTGTCATTGATACCTATTGTTCAGGGGGGATGATCTATTCATTCATTCCCCCCCCCCCTGATGAATAGGTATTACGTAAAGATCGACACCCATGCCCCATCCCCTTTTTTTTCGCTTGGCCGCCGAAGATCCGCCCCTGGATTAATATTTAATAATATAATGTTGTAATTTATCTAACCGCTGAGGGCGACTTTGTTATACTTGTCCACAGCCATCTATACGCATATCTATGTGTATAGACGGCTCTGACCATGTCTGAAGTCGATTCGAGTTCGTAATTCATTTGATGATGAAACGAACGTTTTCCAATCGTCAGCCGAACCTTTGCTAGTTGGAGCTGTCGGATCCAGAACGAAAAGTAGCCACCCCACCCCGCGCCCTCCCACCCTCCCCACAAAAAGGAAATGTATACAAAAAGGGAAAGTAATCATGCATTTGCCGATAAGGTTTTTTGTTTTCAATTTGCACATACACACACACACACAAACGCGCGCGCGCACACGCTCACACTCACACACACACACACGCACACAAATTCATTGTCAAGTATATACATTCCTGACCGAAATAATTCTAAGAATATCCTTCTTATGAACAAATATTGATCAATAGACCCCCGACAAAGACTCTAGTAATGCAGGGAATGTAGATTGCTAGTTCAATATTGATTAGCTAAGACAGTACGCACTCACAACACAGTGGGTACTTTACTTTTGATTTTATATTATACTTTATGTTGTTTTCTTCATACCCACAAAATATTGTTGGTTGGCAAAAACATCCCCCGGGATTAAGTTCAAGTATGATTTACAATTGCAAAAGTACAAGCTTAACACTCTGATTGCAAAAAAATTGCTCTTCATTTTGATTATTTATGTATATATTCTTGGGATGTTGTCATTTATGTACCATTAATGTAATATAAATGTTACGCCTTAAAAGCCTACCAATCCCATTACTTTCCCAAGGCTTGGAATGAAACTTTAATTTACAAAAGGGAAACAAAAACATGGAAATATCTGTGGTTATCGTTACGGAGCAAAATAGAAATTATCAGGCATTGTAAAGCAGTCCAGTTGACAAGATGTAATTTCTCATCGGTGTTGCTGTTGAGACAATGTCACTTACCAACCCATTTGCAAAGATGAGGACTTACATTTAATGTTATCATCAATTTGGTTATGTTTAGTGGTTTAATTTTCATTTCGCGAATGTATGTTTTGATGTATTTGATGTATTTGCATATGTTAATATTTTCACAATTCGGCAACATGCCACGATGAAAATATATCTAAACATTTATAACAATAATACAGAATTAAATCGAATTTGAATATGGGAGAATATGTCTTTCTCAACTAAACTAGTAGTGCTTGGTTAGGTGACATAGCGCCCTCTCAAGAAGGCCAACGATGATCCTCGTACAGCAAGCTATTTCACTGCATGCACACTATACACACTATAAATATGACTGACAAAGAAAGCGGACAAAATATACAGTTCCTCAGGTAGACAAAGGAACATCCTTTCACTGCTTATTATGTAAAAAGGTGAATATGCATGTGACACCTGTTCTACACATTTTTACATAATAGCAGTGAAGGGATGTTCCTTTGTCTACCCGAGGAACTGTATATTTTGTCCGCTTTCTTTGTCAGTCATATTCATAGTGACAATCATGTATAAATAATAAAAGGGTAATCCAGTATAGGTCAAGGGTATATGACCTTGTTTGGGCTGTCACCTATTACATGGTTAAAATCTCAAAATCTTTACAAATCTTTAATTTCCTAATTTCCTCCCACGCGCCTTTTCAGAACCTACATGTAGGCCTACATGTTTTTATTTATACAATAGAAGGGGAATGATATATGAGTCATTGTGTGTAATAGATAAGTGATATTTATTAACCTCTATACATCACGTTAACAAAACCGCTTTAGGCAATTTGAAATTCACATTCTTGGTGTGTTCTATTTCGTTAAAAACTTTAGTAATCTTCTCCGATTTTCTGAATTGGTAAAACAAAACTTGCTGCAATTAAGTTTAAGATATTTTGACTTTATTCAATTAAGGTAAGGCCTCATAATCACCCATGTCAATAAAAAGAAAGAAAATATATACACGAAAGAAAAGGGAAAAAGTTGCAGGGGCTCGTTATTTGAGTTGACTTTGAATGAAAGGTGGATTGGTTATGCTAATTGTGACTTAAATTCAAACTTATTTTATAATGTGCAAAGATTTTAACAATATTATTAATAATAGTAATAAACATTTCTATAGCGCCGTCTTTCTAGAAATTCTATTCCGAGCGCATTTATTATTACCTCGGCTTTACCCCGACTTACTATATAAAAATGTATATAAGATAAAATTTAAAGAGAGTTGCGTTTATTCGAGATCATACAAGACTCTGTTCAAAATTCATGGAAAGTTCTACAAGCATCTTCAGGGTTGAAGGAAGCTGAGCACACCAAGCATAAAGAAGAAGAAGAAAAAGAAGTAGTAGAAGAAGAAAAAGAAAAAGAAGTAGTAGAAGAAGAAGATAAAGAAGTAGTAGAAGAAGAAGATAAAGAAGTAGTAGAAGAAGAAGATAAAGAAGTAGTAGAAGAAGAAGAAGATAAAGAAGGAAAAAAGGGGGGAAAGTAGAAGAAGAAGAAGAAGAAGAGAAATAAGAAACCCCAGAGGATATGCAAATATAGAATGAGATTAGAAAGATGGAGTTTCCTTATCTGACCTATATAGTTTTCTCACGAATCGCGTCAACCTGAACCAAAGCGTAACTTTGGCGATAAACACTTAACAATTAAATGCCGAATTTCCTATACTTTTGTTCCATGAAATTATGATGTGATTAAACATCATTAAAAAGCACTCAGACTGGTGCTTGAGAACAGGAAATACAAAAACATAGAAAGCGAAACCGACTGATCACTTCAGATTACTTATTTTCAAATACATTTTTTTATTGAAAAAAAGTGTTCCCCTTTAACTCAAGATTGCATACTAGGCCATCTGCAGGAAGTGGCTGTGTAACGTTAGAACAAAATAATGGGACCCGCTACTGCACCGCTTCTCGGCAAATTTGAAAAACAAAAGATATTTTTTATTTTTTTATTTTTATTTATTTATTCGTACGGGGTAGCCCATTCTACATCAGTTGGTCTCCCATGGGGCCCCTAAAAACATACATACATGAATGCAACACAATATGTC